CCTGTTTTACCACCACTACACCTTTACTTGACGACACCCCTCCTGACGAACGCATGAACGAGCCCTCGAAGAAAAAGGTTTCCCCTCATGTTAATTTACGAATTGTACCCTCCCCACATGATTCCCCAGAGCCCAGTCTCCTCATCCCGCCGTTGGCCGACCGAGCCCCAGCCTTTCGGCCGTTCTATCCGGCAGCCCACCCGACCCTCAACCTGGTTCGGAAGATTTAACACCCCAACTCCTTTCCTTTGTCAACTCCCATGTTTCACTTGATGCCTTTTTGCTACAATGCGACTCTGTTTGCGTCCGACCGTGGAGCGCCAGCATGCTAGTGCGAGCACTTTGGGAGGGAGGCCTTTTCAGCTTCAGCGACTCTGCCGTGCCAGTTTTTGGCACCGCTGCAGGACAGGGCCTGCTTGTTTGTTCTGCGCGCACTATAGACCTGAAAATTAAGGAGGCGTGGATAGACGCGCGAAAGCTAATTGACATCATTCATTCACTCCCCCGCCATATGTGTTCATGTTTTTTTTCTTTTTTTTTTTCGTGAGGACTTCACAAGCCCACAACGAGCAGCATTATGTCTCTAAGCTGATGTAAGCCAGCCGCTCTATACACGATATGGCTCGATGCCTCTCAGCACCCTCGCCACTTGTTACCAAAGTTAGTACCGCGACTCCTTGCTCCGGAACCACCAATCGTCGACCAAGAGCCGTCGTCGTCGTAGCTATGCACGCACTTGGTTCTGCAGTCCAGCGCTTGCGGCTACGGACTGCCTGCAGAACACGGGAAAGCGCACGCCTCTTTTTGCTCGGACACGGGTCAGCGGTAAGCTCAGAGTCCATGCCGTCAGTCTCATTTTCGCACACTAAAAAGAACGAAAAAAAAGAAGGACACACAGATCTCGGGGGGGCGCGGGCCAACCGCAAACGTCACCATGCGCCGGCGTCTCAGATCTGGCTTCTGGTCTCCGACCCTAGAGCGTCTCACATAGCACGATCCCGTTCGCCCTCGCGCCCTTGGGAGTGATCCCCTAGCGCGGTTGGCTCGCCCACGCACGCAAGCCCCTCGCGCGGACGGGAAACAACAACCCGCAGCGAACTCATCCAGAAGCCCGCTAGAACAAAAACACAGCCTCGCGCGAAGCCTTCTAGAAACACCCGAGTTATCTGTCGCCATGGATACGCGCGCGCGCGATGCCGTCCGCCTGGATCATAGTCCCGCCGTGGTAGGGCCGGGGAGCCGTTTATGGCGCGGGTGCGCCCCAGGGACGAGCCACTAGGCCGTTGGGTGCGCCACAGCCCGACGCCCGGCTTGTGCATCGCTGCGCGTCCAAGACTGCAGGCCTTTTGTGGCGTTTAATCTGGGACCTTTGGAGGAGCAGCGGGTCGGTTCGACGTCGCACGCCAGCTGGTTTCATGATGACACCAACACTACAACTTGAAGTCTATTTGCTTCTCGTGTAGAAAGCTCGCGAGTTTTTGGACTTTGATCCACGAAGCCCACCAATATTGAAAGTTCATACATAGAGTAGGGGCTCGAAATCATGTGTCCATCTCCCAGCCGCGGATGCTTTCCCAGCGCAACCTCTTCCACTGAGTTGGCCCATGTGGTGGCCATGACTAGTAGGTATCGCCAGCGAGATAGGGACATTAGCTACCAATGGGGACTGTGCAGATATCTTCCCTCCTAGGGACACGTGGCTGTATCTCCTGTTGGCCGCCGCAAGATAAGGCTATTCACGGTTGAAGAAATTGACATGGTCTGACAGGTTTCGAAAGCCCGCAAGCATCTCGCAGGAGTCTTGCAAAGGGTGCTGACACTAAGCAAAACCCGACTGCAACTTTTGGAGGGTATTTGGCACAACATCGGGGGACTGAAGCCCTGCAATGCCTTGCCTCGGCGGTGATCCTGCGCCAACCTGGAAGCAGTACTCGGAGCGCAGCGCATGGACGGCCACCTCGTCGGCAGCACCGCATACTCGCTGCCTGGCAATGCTCACATCAGGTCCGGCTGCCTGGCAAGGATCCGGGTGGTGGCGGCAGCGCTCCAGTCGGATTCGGTGTAACTGCGATCTGGCGCGATACCTTGGGCGTCATCACTGGCGCTGGCGGCTACCGTCGCAGGCCCCCTCGCCGGGCCCTCTCATGTCGTCTTCTAGGTCCAACCCATATGAGGGAGGAAAGAAACACATATGCGACAGGTTGCGCTGCGGTTCAAATGTGCACCGGGAAGACAATGAAAATGATGGAGGCTGAATACCGTCCTTGCCCCCCAGCGTTGATCCTATCCACTGTGCAACTTAAAACCTCCACAACAACCCGTTGACAAGCACATGCAGCGCCGTAACGTACGGAATGAGCGTCGGTGCCGCCTTGCCACATCCGAGACTATCGGGGATGCGAGTGCAGAAGCCGGTAGGAGTGGTGATATAGGTATAGTATGCCTGCTTCATCATGCAGAAGACGCGGCAGCCGACGGCCAGCTCTTTGGCCGCCACGGCCTCGCAGATGCGCGTGATTATACCGCCAACCTCGCGGCCAAACTGGCGGATGGGGCTCAACGACTCCACGCACCGACGACGTGGTCCAGGGACTCGCCTACGAGCAGCATATCCATCGCAGTGCACACCTAGCGGATGGCTGGAGCAATATGGACACAAATATGCCAGCCAGGGGGAAATATATTTAGCAAAAAGAAAAACATACAACACCGAGGATTCCCCAGTGGTCACCCACCTGAGTACTAGTTCGGCCCTCATATGTTTTGGCACTTGGATATTTTCAGAGCAAATGGGATCCCAGGCGGCCGCGACTGGCCGGAGTTGTTCAAGCAGCGGCGACTTCCCTAGGAGGTGGCCAGCTCTAGGAGGCCAGAAGTTACGAAAGCGTTAATTGCTAGCAGGCAATTCGAAAGCCATGCCACCCGCTTGCAACGCCCATTCGAATTCGATTGGACAAGGGGGGGAGGGCCGCAGATGTGGATGGATAAGGGCGAGGAAAATTTCCATAAATCGGATCATTCGAACCGCTCGCTCACCCTTGCGGCGTTTAATAGATCCCTTTTGCCTTTCGACTCCAGCTTTGACAGTACACGCGGAGATGGTGATAGGGCCCTGGAGCAGAGTTCTCTTTGCTACCTTACAGTCTTTCGGCAACCGACGCGCATTTCAAGTCTGGTAAAGGCGTGTATCGCCGAAGCCCCGAGGCTCGACTGTTACGGTCACGACCGTGGCGGGAGGCCTAAAGAGGGGTAAGCACCCCGGGGAATAGACAACCAAGGAACCAGGTCTCACGCGACACTGGCTACGTGACAGGGTCTCGGGATCTCTGGATCTCTGGACAGAGCCACAGATCCAGGATCAGGGGGTCGCATGGGAACAGCAAAGACAAGTATAATACGGTCGGAGGACTCTCCTTGTAGATAGTTTTTGACTGAGGCTTTGGCATCAGCCAGTCTAAGTTAGCTTCAAGATAACCTCTTGAGCAAGCATCCAGACTACTGTCACCAACTCCGTGTCACCTGACTGTCACGTGACACCCCAGTCTCAAGTCACCACTGGGCGGCCCTACCCTAGGGGTAGAACGTCTGTTTGTAACATCGACGCTGCCGTCACCACGAGTGACGGTGATGCCGCAGACCTCCATCGTTCATGTGCTCGGTAGTTTCACGCCGGAAAATAACTTGCTCGCAATGCAAGCTGGAGAGCGTTAAATTATGGTACTTGTCCGTTGGCGACGAATGTAGTTGACAATAATCGATATGGAACGGACATGAAGCAGGCGGGTTACAAGCCGTACGATAAATATCCGACATGAACATTCTTCGTTGACTTCTCCCACTCTGCCTGATGTTTTTCCATGCTCCCTCCACGTCCCTGTAAACGCACGTAGTGGTTCAAATTATTACAGCTTGTATTATAAGATGATGAAGGAAAGGAAGGAGGCCGAAGGCCGGATTTCCTGTGGGTGGCTATATACAGGAGGATTGCACAGGGCCACGGGACAAGCGCTCGTGGCCCCTGCCGTTGGATGCGGTTGGTGTTGGTAGACATGTTTTCGTGGCACTGATCGTCCCGAAAAATAGATTGAGGGGTTTTTGCATGCTGGTTTTGGGCACAAAGGTATGTTGAGATAGTGAGACTCTTAATTGTCAGACTTTTTCAGCACCAAGGGTATTGTTCTGTATTCTCTCCTCTACCTCTCTGGAAATTCTGTGCCACAGGCTGCCCTTATAGTACATGAGCTCTGTAGATCCTTTTGAGAGAATGCCTTGCGGCTGATCCAAAGTGCCTCGCGGCTGACATGTGGGATCGTTCTGAACATCGTGCCCGAGGTGCGTCACTATGCTCACTGACCCGGCACCTTAGATTCCAGACCATACGCCTCGGGACTGGGAATGCCAAGGATTACCAGGACGAAAGGCACCTGTCGCAGATGTGTCCTTACATGTCGCGGTAGGGCGCAGGAAAATATGCCTCGCGGGTCATTGGGCAGACCGGCCTAGTCTTTTGGCCTCCGCTACATTGCTCCGAGACCTGCGATTGGCTCCTTGGTTTGTGGTGCAGGGTAATAACGCCCGCTTGAGCTGGAGGCCAATTTTTCCACGTCATGGCCAATCGATTATTTTTCTACACCGCACCGGGCTTGGTGGTGCGCAAAGGTTCAGCTGATGCGGGGTCGCAGCAGCACTGAGGACTGAGGGCGCCACGAGGCCATTTGATGTGTCTTGGGCCATTACTTACACATGCTATGCAGCGACCCAGTGAGGTGCAGAAAGCGGCACCAATCACCAGTGGCAAAAGGAGACTGGCCAATCACAAACGCGCCAAAAACGCAACGTACTTGGCACCGGAAGAAGCCAATCACAACCGTTACCTTTTCCTAATCCTAATCCTAATTCTAATCCTAATTCTAATCCTTTTCCTACTCCTTTTCCTAATCCTTTTCCTGCTCCTGGTTGCCTTTTTTCCTTATCCTGAATGCTATTTGGGTGCTACTTGTTGCTCTTTCTATATGTTTCCCGCTGCCTTTCTCCTGCTCCTGTCTGCCTCATGGCTCCTCGTTGCCCTTTCCATATTTTCCCGATGCCTTTTCCCTTCTCCTCGTTGTTAAAAGGATAACATAAAGCTCCCACCATCTTCTTCCCATGTTCCCATCAAACATCACTCCTCTCCTAAGTCCCATAGGAGGATGGCCACAAGCGATGTGTTATTTCTTAATAAGGTTTCTCTGCTACTAACATTCCGCGCAATACTTCCATGCCAAGAAACGCCTCACAGCCGAGAACCTCACTTGTCCTAGCACCTTCTCGACGTCGATACCGGACCCTGCGCGGCTTCCCACATTGTGTCCATACAGACCTGCACGGGCCGCCACCACAGTCAAATCGCGAGATCCGTTAGCCAGCTGGATTTGTCGACACAATCTTGGACATACAACCCCTTGAAAAGGGAACAGCGCGTGACAATCTCTATCTCTTCAGAGTCGACTCGATCTTGATATCTATATAATCCTGCCCCTGTATAAGTGCCCTTTGGGAATATTCTCGATCCTCGCTTGGGCGCTGCGTCCCCGCGGTCACCTACAAACGGGCCATGCGAGAACCGCGCTGGCAAACGCCCTCCGATCGGGTGCCTTCCTCGCTTGCCATGCAGAACATCTACCGCTAGATTCGCCCTCCAAAGACGTTGGCACATATTTCGAGGCGCTGAAAGGGCCACCAACGGCATGCCCACACACTGCAAAAGCTCCTACACGGTACGTATATCTCAAGCAGCACTCCAGTCAGCAAATCCGAGAAGGAAAACAGCCTTAGGCTGGCCGATATTCCAGAAATACAAAGGAGATTGGGAATGCTACATGTTGGAAAGCGCAAAATCTAATTCGACTTAAACCCGGACAGTCACGAGTCTCCCATGTTTCCCCGTTCGATGGCCTGTCCACAGGGCGTCTTTGAAGAGCACTCCGTCCCTCCCTCCAGGCAAAGTCTATAAGCCTCGAGTAGAAACTCTACTTGCCACCATTATTACTCCCCAGAGGTCTTCCTCGCGACCCATTGCCACAGGTCTGCACGTGGTCCCGGTGCGCGCCAGCATCGTAGGTCTCCCCTCCGCAGAATCCGCAGACCATGGACGACCGGATGGTCCCGATGGTACAATGCTCACCGCGAGGCCCGTGCTTGTCGAAGTGCCGCAGATAGTTGTCCTTGCGGCCGCCAGGAAATCTGTCGCCGCACCAGCAGCGGTACTGGTACGGCCAGTGCTTGTTTCGCGTGTGCCGGACCAGCTTGTTGTTGCTGGGGGACTTGTGGCCGCAGAAGGCGCACTGGTGGCGCTCTAGAGCCGGCCTGGGTGAGTGAATCTATCTGCGTTAGGCAAGGCGCTCTGCGCTCCCTCCGGCCGCCCGCCGTGCGTGTGGGCGGAGTGTGGGCGGAGTGTGGCAAAACATACGGTGTCATGGGCTGCGCGTTCGCATTCACGGCTTGCCCTTCACTGATATCTTGCACAAGGGAAGACAGCGCGGATGATGGCCCGCAGCTGGGCCAGAAAGCCGATGGCGAGCTGGTGTCGGCACCAAGATGGGCTGGGGAGTCGTTCAGATTCTGGACGCCGGCTTGGTGCTGGGTGCCGATCCGGTGCCGGATGTCGATCTGGTACTGGGCGCCGGCCGGGTGCTGGGTGCCGGCCTGGTCGGCCTCGTACTGGGAGGTGCCGACGGCCGAGCCGGGCACAGTTCCGGACCATGTGTACGAGGACGATCCAGGCTCCTCGAACGACCCCGTGCCTTCTTCAACCGTTCCCCCGTCAGGGTGAGCAGCCTGATCGCCCGCGTTGTCGCTCTGGGCATCATCTCCATCGCCGGAGCCCCCGTCGTTAGGCCCCCAGTGGTGTCCAGTGCTTGTCGGCGGCAGCATCTTGTCCACAATAGTCGTAGGTGTAGTGGTGGGAGGATGACCACCGGAAACGGAGAAGATGAATGGATCTCGGGTCGGCTGTGCTCATTTGCATTTTCTCCCTTGAACGGTGGCTTTTCACATCGTCGAGCTGGTGCTCACGCAAAACTCTGGCGCCATTGGTCGTTATTTTGTCCCCTTACCATAGAGACATCCGCGAATCGGAATAGTTGGCTGGCGCTGCCGCCTCCGGGGCCGATTAGGGAGTGGCAGGTGCCGCAGCCCTGGCTGTCGGATTGGTCCCTGGGATGCTGGGCTCAGGCCAAATTTCTGTGGAGGGAGTTGGAGGACATTTTTTACACATGCGCGCAGCCGGCAGCGCCGTCTTGCAGACGCCAATTGCCCTCAAAATACATCAACTAGTTCCATATGCAGCATAATAGCACGCGGTGGCATGCTGAAGTGTCCAGGCTGCTCTAGGCAGACAGGGTGGGCTCGGGTTTTCTTTGCTGGCCTTGTCGTTCGACACGCTTCATCCCACCTTCGAAATGCATCAAGCCTCCTAAGGTCTAGGGAGTCGTCTGTGATCAATTGCGATTGATGAAGGCTTGTGACAAAAGGGGATGCTCCCCGTTGTGGGCCAGACCATGGCTTGGCCCGAGCCGGAGCCCCCGGTCCATGGGTGCGCCATTTCCCGCACCAAGCATCGGGCGGCCCGGCTGTAGGACTGGGCATCCACTACCGAGCACATGGGGGAAGGGGCACACGTGTATATGACCTCAGAGAAGGATTGCCCTACCGGAACAGAGCCTACTCTGACCTCCAACTTCCTTGGCAACATTCCCCGTTTTTATTGACCCAGAAGAAAGGTATGTAGCCCCAGTATCGATCGTGGGTCAAGGACGACAGCGGACAAGAGGCACGAAAAGATTCACTCCCGCGTGGTGCATTCTTTTATTCGCTGCTCGAAATAGCCAGCTAGTAGTCAAGCGGACTCACTCTGAACCACTATCCCCCAGAGCCTCTCGGTTGTGAGACGTTATACCATGCATGTGGCCCAACTTCCGTCATGGCGAATATCGGGCTCTGCACCCATTAATAAAACATCACGCTATTGTCGTAAAAATGATCAGTCTTGCACTAGCGAGCGTTTACGGGACGATTGCGACGAAACTTTCGTGGCCTTGATGACAGCAATGCCGTCCAGGGCCAAGTTGAACGAAACACTCGAGCCTGCGCCAGATCGCCCCGTGAACATCTCAGACCACCTCCAGGTACCCGACCCAAGCCCATGCATATCCTCAAAGTCAACCCCCAGCGTTTGCGCCCTGCCCACCGAGACGAGCCCCACCATAATACCGTCGCTCAGCTGTCCCGCCTAGTACGGGTAGATCTGCCCGTTGACGGGCGCCGGCTTGACGGGGGGCTGGAAGTATCCGGTTGCTTTGCTGAGCGGGCCCTGGTTAATGGAAAGGAGTGTCTCGGGAGTGATTGTGATTCGCTGGATTTGAACTGCTAGTCAACCTATAGAGGCCCGTCCTAGAGCTAAGACTCCTGGAACATGGTGGTCTTCTTTCCTTTCGTTTTCCGCAGTATAATCTTCGTTCGCAGTGCCATTAGCATATGTCCTTGACCGTGACACCACCTCCGCTCTGCGAGAGGAGGATGCTGTGGGCCACAAGACCCTGGCTCGTTATTAAGAAAGGAAACTGGACTCCATTAATATCCCTGATACGCGCTCTGATTACTTGTGCCCTTAGGATCCCTAACCTAGGATCTTGTGGCAGTGAAGGAGATGTGCTCCATGGAGGTGCAAACCACACACACGCTTGAACCAGGCAGACAAGGCATATATCACCCCTCTCCCTTGACGCCTCCGGGCCATTGTGCTCCCACACCTCACATGACCATTTCGAAAGTGTAGCTTTGGGAAGTGCCAATCTCTGTTTATGTTTGCATATTGATGCGCTGAGGGGAATTTTGGCCTCGGTGGCATTGAGGGGGCCTGGTGAATCATTGTGATTCACTAAACTCCAACTGTTGGCCAGCCTACAGGGGCCCGTCCTAAAGCCCATCCCCGTTTCTCCCCCAATAGAATCTTTGTTGGCAGTGCCACGAGATTGTGTTTCAACCGTAACACCGTCTTCAGTTTTACGCGAAAAGGATAGTGTGGACACACCGTTTCCCTCCTTCTGCAACAACGACGCCGTGAGTTTTACCAGCAATATCACTTGCCGAACTTCCGTCCTGCCTTTCGGAACTGCGCCGTGCGTTGCTTGTTATCCGAACCTCGGCCAGCCTCTCCGCCACCGGCGTCTTGGTCGGTCCACGCGGCCATGAACGATCGCGACGTCGCCCCCGATGCGTCTCTCCTCAGGGCCATCTTCCCTGAGGATTCCCTAGCCCGTATCTCAATTATCCTCCAAAACTGGGACAAGTGCGTCTTCAAAGCCGAGTTCTCAAATGGCCAAGCTCCGTGCGTCGTTCGTTTGGAAACCCAAAAGGAAGGGTCCGCTTCGATGCAGACGGTGGCCGCTATGCAGCGACTTGCCTCGACACAAATCCCCAATCTCATCCCAGACATCCTCGCCACCGGAGCTGCGACCAACGACAAAGGCCGGTCTTTTCAGTTCTGCGTGGTGCAGTATGTGGAAGGACAAACGCTCGAGGAGGTCTGGGAGGAGATGAGCGAGGCAGACCAGCGCCATATTGTCACCTCTCTGGCCGATGCGATCAAAAGGCTGCAGTCGGTACGGCTCAGTGACGACACAGTCCGAGCACGCCTTTGCGGCGTTGGATTGCCGCCCGAGGCGTTGCTAGGTGGCCCTTGGACAGGATTCCTGGCGGACGGGCCGGCATTGCTGGAATTCCTCACTCGGATGCAGCAGAGGGAAGCAAAGCAGCCTCCCTACGAGGTCGAGCCGTGTGCAGATCCGAAGGGAACCAGGCTGCGGTCACGTTTCGAAGACCTGGGCTCGATCACGGTCGAGGACCACGACATGGCGCAATGGTCCGGAGAGTCCGTGCTCTGCCACAACGACCTGACTCCCCGCAACCTCATCGTCCGGCCTTCCTCCAAGACGGGCGAGGAGGGGGGTCCCCGATACCAGCTTGCTGCCATCATCGACTGGGAGGTCGCTGGTTTCTACCCCGCGTCCTATCAGCTGAGCCTGCAGGATACATATCTCAGCAGTGCGAACCGGCACATCTCTCTCTACCTCCTCCTGAAGCAGCATCTGAAGGAGCTCGTCCCCCGCTCTCCGTCGCAGATCGCTCTCCTGCACGCCATGGAGTTTGTGTACGAGTCCCGGCAGAAAAGGATGGCCGAGCGGGGGAACATCCCTGCCCTGATCCGGCAAAAATTTAGAAAGGAACTGCGGCTGGCTCGGGATGAGGATCCGTATACTGGCTGGATCTGTGATACGCGGGAGGGACCAGCCCCTAGGCTGTCTGCCTCGGATATCGAAAAGATAGAGACGGATGTCATTAAGGCGGTAACAGGTTAGCGGCAAACCTGTCTTGGGAACTTGCAAGAAAGGGAACGACGGGACAGGAAAGGGAATAGCGGGAAAGGAAATGGCAGGCAATAAAATAGCACAAATGTGCTGCTCTCTTTCCCAAGCTCGCCATCCTTTTTTTCTCTCTCATTCACGCCCCTGTTGGGGTCGATCCTTCCTCTCCGGGGCTGGAGGAGCCTTCCATTCCCTTATATGCACGGAAAGCGGACGGGATCCCGTATATTCCAGTGGGTATGGTTGTATGTGCTTCTTTTTAAACCTGCCTGAGATTTTATACTTCATCGTAGCGGACGCTCTATATTTGTTTTCCTTAACACGTTGCAGAAGCCCTCCGCCATGCGTTCAGTGCCCGGGCTGCCAGTATCAAAACACGCACGGCCTTGGATGCTATTAAGTCGGACTAGGTATGCCTGTCCCAGCTGCCCGTGTGAATCCGACTTATTTCTCGCCTCGCACCGCAGCCCTCATGCCCTCCAAGGCGGCCAGTGCCTCGTCGGCAGTCGGGTGCCCTTGCTGCTGCTGCTGCTGCTTCGCCAGCTCCTCCCACCTCTGCATCCACCTCTCCCAGCGATCCATCGAGTACCTCTCGTCGTCTTCCCCTCCCAGAATCTTCCATCCCTTGTGGCAAGTCTCGAGAACCTAGGGAGCGCCCCCGAGCGAGAAGAAGTGCGTGATGGCTGAGCGGTAGACGGGGTCCGGATCCGGCTTGTCGAGCACCTTGGGGGTGTGGCAGCCAACCAACGCCAGAGCACCCTGGACGTTTTCGTGCCCGGCCGCGTACAGTCGCGCCGCCCGGGCCGAGACGTTGGCAAACCGGGTCGACGGCTCGGCTAGCTAGCCGCTTGTCCCTCCCACAAAGGCTGTTGGATACACGGAGAATATCAGTTTGCTTTTTTTTTGTGACTTTTTTATGCTTCAGTTGCCTTGGATGCCAATGAGAAGAAGAAGAAAACCTTACCATCGACCAGTTCGATCCTCAGGTGGTCCTCGAGCCCTTCCTTCCAGCTTTCGCCTTCCTCCGGGTCGTCGTCCTCGGGGTCCGGGACCGTTCCCTAGTTGAGGAGGTGAGGGATCAGCTCGACGAGCTTCGGATGGGCGGCCTCCAGGTCCCAGGCGATGTGGTTCAAGAGATACCAGACAGCGACGACCTCGGATGTGACGCGGTCGAGGTCGAGGCCGGGCTCGTAGGACGGGCGAGAAAGGACATGGGCCACTTGGTCGGCACTGGGGTCGGGCCGGGCGCCGACGAGGTAGTGGCGCAGCGCCTCGACTTGGGCCTCTGTCGGTCTGCTATCCTAGGCGTCGTCGTCTCCCTGGTCGTCGCTGTTGCTTGCTTGGCCGCGCTTGCTGATGGCCTTGTCAAAGAAGTTGTTGATCGCGTCCGCCATTTTTGGGTGACGCTGCTGGGGTGATTGATGCTATTTTCCATTCGGCTGGTTTGTGTTCCCTTTTCGGCTTTTTGTTCCCGAGCTTGGTACTGGGAATTGAGGAAACGACGCGGCGCAAGAGAGGGGTATTTGAAGGCGAACCCCATTCGGTAATGGAGGTGACATCTTGGCTCCTTCATGCAGCCAGCCGCTTACTATCCATGTTGCCATCTTTCTGCAGGACCATGCGGCCAGGTCCGTCGCAGCACCAGCCTCGCCGGAGAGCCTGCCATTTCTTGTCCCTTGATCGGCGGACTTAATCTCCTATTGTCAGCCGCAAAATCGACCGATCATGGAGTTGCTCTGCCTCACTTGACAGAGTAGTAATTTTTCTGGCAGTAATCACGCATAAAGACCAAACAACGATGGAGGAGCTTGTATGCTTGCTAGATAGGGGTAATATCGTAACGCCAGGCACCCACGATGGAATACGCTGTTCCAAAGCACGACGCCGTTTATATTCGCTCGCCTTCTAGCCTCGGAAAAGTATTTCACAAAGTTGTTCCAAGCTCAACCTACTAATCCAACAGATCAATCATTACCAGATTCCAACCGTCCACCTTTTACTATTCTCTAAGCCATCATCCCTTTCCTTTTCCCTCCTTCCTTTTCCCATCGACAGCACGAAGTTTTCGGGGCTCGGACAGCTGCTAGCTGTAGCTGCATTCGCTTTGAGAGTCACCACACGCCCCACCGACACACAGACGGAGGCATCACGTTTAAACGCCCGAAATGTAGTCGTGAAAGGAGTCCCCCCCTTTGGATGGACGGTTTCTGTTAAGAACTCTAAAAAAAGGTATGTCCAAACATTGCAAATTTCCTATCCTATTTCCTTTCCTATCTCGTTTTGGCCTCGCTAATAAATTTACTCACACATTTGATAGACGTGAAGGTCTCCGCTAAGATTATCACGGATGCGATCAAAAAGGCAGTTGCGCTGCAGGACGCGGGCAAGAAAAGAGGGGCGAGTGTGGTAAATGGCAAGAGGAACGACGGATACCCAACCGATATCAAGATACCGGAGTCCGTAACCGGGCTGGCGGAAACGGGCTCGACCAACGGCATCTTCCATTATCTGATCAAGGTTAGCAAGAACAAGAGCTTACTCGGCTGGCGAAGGATTCTGGACGGTGTTGTTAGGCCGAGTCCGGGGATGTACGGGCAGCGCGGGCTGAGGCTGCTGGCCGAGAGCTCTTCTCTTGCGCGGATACGGGTATGCACGCCGTTGAGGCGGTTGTAGACCGTCATATAGGCGCCAGAGGCTTGGAATTCCTTTGCGCGATCTGGAACGGTATCAGGTAGGAGAATAACACAGCAAGCTCAAGACTGATTTTATCTGTTCATCAAGCCTCGAGTGCGCAGGGAGAGCATACTACACAGCATCATCACTGGTTAGAGAAACATTTCTCATGGGCAAACTCTTGACCTAGACATGTGCGTTGTAGCTCTCACGCAGACATACATAGCAAAGAGCAGGAGCAGTCACTGGATCTTGCGGGAGGTTGCCCAAAAGAAAGCACTCGAGTAAATGTCACCCAGCCTCCGACACATCCAGGTGGTTGGTTGTTGTGTTTCCACCGGGACTTTTGCGGTTGTTAGGTTTTTCTCGGCCCGCCAATTTGATGGGTCTAGGTCTAGAACGGGATGGTTTTAGCACCCCTAGTTTCCGTTACGTTGTTTCGCCGGCTGCCGGCCCAGAGCCGTCCGGAAACGACACTCGGTGGCTTCCGCTGGAAAACCTTTTCTCCTTTCCCCTTTTTCCAATTCCCGTGGGCGCGTTTGGAGTGGATGCAAATGGAGACGGTGCCTGGCGATCGGGCTAGGAGGGGTTCTCGACCAGGGCGGCGCCGAGTCGAAAAGGGAAGGACTTGGTACTGTGTGGGGCATTTGGGCCTAGAATGGACTCGAAGAGAAAAAATAAACTGCAAGTGTGACGCATTATCCACTAGGAATGACGCCGGCCACAGAGGCAAGGGGAGTTGTGAGAAATCCCGGAGGATGGGACCGAGAAAAACAAGATGCGAAAATTTGCACCTCGCTACAATGGTTCGTGCAGCTTGGCGGTGTCATATCGAGTAAAACGTAGGTAAAACATTGCCAGTAGGTGGTGTGTGGCTGGTGATGGCAGTTGTGAGGGCGGGGTTTGGACTTGGCCATGGATCATTATTATAGTCATAACTATCTTTTCTTCGAACAAACTGCAAAGGGCTCCTGGGAGCAAGCTTGGACAACGCAATGCTGAATCACAACCCATCATGCCAGTTGGGCCAAGCCCGGCCTGCCTGGCTAGCACACACACGGCACAGCTAGCTGCGGCCAGATCTGGCGTGCTTGGCGATCACAGGTGACACACACTGCCAACGACTCGGATGGCGCGACCAGTTGCTAACAGTTGCTCTTTGTTGCTTGCACCTATTGGCCCGGGCTTTTTGCGCACGCTCGCTCGTGGGCGAGTCGGTTGGCTGCGGGTGCATGGGTTTGTTGCCATTACATAACGTCAACTACCCTGAGCGCCAGCTCAGCCTCTTGGTGCGAGCTCTGCAAACAAGCTTCTTCCGGGTGGGCAGTCAGACCACTTTTGATCTCCATCCGATCCATCTACCGGCTGGTGTTCTGACCTCGGGAACCAGAACTTAATATCGCGCCATTTTAGTCCAATGGGTACCTAAATAGTGCAACACACATTATGCGAATCGCAGGTACTTGTGCACCATTTCCCGAATATCAACGAACACGTCGCAGACCCGACCCTCAGAGATCTAACCGTCCAGCTCACGGCTTGCAGGATGTGGCTTGCATAGACAGGTCTAAATGCGGGGAAGGTACCTATAGCGCGAGGCTAATTAAAGCGTAACTCTAACGGCTGAACATGCCGGACACGGCTCGTGCAGCATCTTCCCCGAGAGTTTGTCGGCTTGATACATACAGCGGCTGAGTGAGGCGGGGCTGGAAACCTGATGAGCAAAGCACTTTTGAACAGTAAGGCATGAAGACATGACATCTGCACTGAGAGTATTCGAAGGAGGGGGGCATTTCCCAACCCAACAGCATCATGCTGGAGCAATCTGGATAGGCAAGCCCGGTAGGTACCCAGGTACCCAGGTACCCAACCCGAGTGAAGCACGACGGACTACCGAAATACCCCCAAGGGGGTGCCTGACAAAGGCCATGGACGCCTCGGTTGATGTGTGCATGCAGACCGCTCATCGCATTGCTGATGGCCCCATTCCATTCCGTGCTCATTTGCCCATCTGCTCACCAGGCGCAGCTCCGGAAGACACCCAAAGCAGATGGAGGAACCCGGGCAGCCAGCCAGCATTGACGGCTCGGACAGGCTTACACTGGCATCCATTGAGTGCCAGGTACGAGGGTGGAGAGCGTGCATGGAGGCCAACCAACGGTACACGCCCGCCCGGCAGAGAGGCTTCCATGCCCGACCAGCTTAGAATCCACAGTGCCCACCCAGTCCCAGATGGTGGAGCCGTGAAAACTTCAATTCGGTTCAATCCCAGTTGCGTTCCAGGCCCGGACCAGCTGACCCACAGCCGCCCTCGTGACGCAATTGAAAATCACGAACGATGGCAGCCGCCGCCTGGCGCGATTCTTGCGCTCCTCCTGACTTGGGCAACCCGCGTTATGGTCCGATCTGCCCTTTCGATTCTCCGCGCGCACACGCTCTCCTCCGCAAAACTTGTATTTGATGGCGGTGCAGCCTGTACGGCAGGTGCTGCTGGGTGTTGCGCTGGGATGGCTGAGGGAGGGAGTAGCAGGAATTGCCTCTTTTGGTTGCTTTTCATTCGATTGATGCTTCATTTTTCTAACGGCCAACGCCGACCGCCGGGATGCTCCCAGCCAGCGCTGAAAAGGGCCAGACCGACTGCGTTTTGGAGGAGCTGGCGGCGTCAGTGCTGCCGGGAGGACCCAGAATTTTTTAATTTTTTTTCCGTCTCCAGCCTGGGCGTCTTCAATTTGCTCGTCATCCCCGCACCGCACACACCCCTGGGCCCTGAAACTCACCAACGCAGGGCGCAGCCTCACCCAGTGAACCAGCACCGAGCCCACCCCATGCCCAGCCGCAAACGGCCGGGCGTGCGTGCCGCTGAACACACAATTCTTTTAGCGGGCCACGGTGCTGGATGATGTGCGTCCCCCCCAAGTCATCAAGTAATTGTTTGTCATAGAAAACGACGGTGGGAGGAACCGCATGGACCACGAGGAGGCAAAGAAAATTGTAAATCTGGAGAGCTCTACATATATGGAAGTGGCGTCGCTCCGTCGCCTCGGATAGGAATGCGCTTGAGTCCTTGACACCAGGTTCCTGAACCATTGTAAACCAGAGATTCTCTTACTTACAGAGACGCAAGCGAGCAGTCCCTTGGACAGCCACCACTACACACACAAAACGCCTCAAAGCCATAGTTCGTTCGAGTCGCCGACTTACACCAGATCGACTCACAAGTTTGGCACGCAGCCTAACAACTCCAGCCGAGCACCACAGAGTTCGACCTTGGATCACTCAGCTGTCAAGCCGTGTCAAGGTCTATCACTCCACCAAGCCGAAAGCCGACGCTCCACCGACGCCGGCTCGAACTCTTTCTCGCCCGCGAATAAAACAGGCGCCATCGCAAGCTTCTCGAAACCAGCTTGCGCGGTGCCCAAAAGCTCCCAGTCGAGCACCACCATCAACGCCCCGACTGCTTCTCGCCAGGCCGCCCAGCCGGAGAAGCGCATTCCAGGAAACCAGGGCACAGCGCTCCGTGCTACGGCTGTGCTCCCTTTGTTCCCCACACACCACCTCCCAAACAGGGCTGGCAGGGAATTGTGCTGCAGTACATCATCAGTGGCGCTACTCGCACCACATCACAAGACCAGCCGAAACTTTCTGGCAGCACCCCAGTTCAAACCCCGACCCCGCGCACGGCTTCATAGCCTGACACCCACAAGCGCTGCGCCGCTACACCCCCGGCCTGCTCTGCCTCGATCCCGAGATCACGTCGCATCGGCTGCCACGCCCTGGATCAAGGCGGGCACCCACACAAAGTGGTGAGACACCACGAGGGAGGTAGTCGGAACGACGCCGCAACGACGGAGCAGAACAGCCAACAACAGAAAATGCCACACAGAGTAGCAAATTTCCTACGAGCCTCGACAAGCACGCTCGAGAGCCAGATCTTCAAGAAGAGCTCGGACAAAAACGGCACAACACAGCCGAGGAGGCAGAAGTCGCCCAGCAGCAGGCCGTCGAGGAGCTCAGAGCGCGTGTTTTCGTATGAGTCCTCGACAACAGAGGACGGCGCGGACGAGTCGCACGCATCCGCCGCCAAGATGACGCCCGACAGGCACGACTCGCCCGCCGAGACCCACCACCACCACAGGCTGTCCTTCCCCGGATTCGGTCACCTCGGCAGGGGCAGCAAGGAAGCGCCGTCGAGCCATGGCGCCTCACTGGATCTCGTGGTTGAGTCTCCGCCCATCGTCTTCCACGGCGACGTGGAGACCAGCACGGGCGCCCTGGTCTCGGGCCAGCTGCTGCTGCAGGTCAAGGAGGACGGCCTGCCCCTGGAATCCTTCAACGCCACGCTCAGCATCCATGTCACCCAGAAGAAGCCCTTCACCCCGCATTGCCACGACTGCACCCACCAGTACACGGAGCTGCAGTCATGGTACTTCCTCAAGGCCCCATTGGCCATGACCAAGGGTGAGTTTTCTCCTGACACCACTTGGATCTGCTTTCTCCGGAGGTCAGGTGTCTCGTTGGATCTCGGGTGGACCCCGCTGCTAACACGCCTTCGCCCCACCCTAGGGATGCACCAGTTCCCCTTTTCGGTCCTGCTCGGCGGCCACCTCCCTGCCACGCTCGACAACCCGCTGATGAGCATATCCTACGAGTTCAAGGCCGAGGTCGTCCCCAAGGCGGGCCACGGCCCCTCCATGAAGCTGGACAAGGTGTTCGAGGTCAAGCGCTCGCTGCCCACGCACGAGACCCCGCACCACTCCCTGCGCGTCTTCCCGCCGACAAACATCAAGGCCAGCGTGCACTTCCCCCAGGTCATCCACCCGACGGGCGCCAACACCCTGGCGCTGCGCCTGGACGGCATCGCCCGCCCCAACGAGAAGAACGGCACCGTCGAGTTCTGGAAACTCAAGAAGCTCACGTGGCGCATAGAGGAGAAGGCCAAGACGGTCGCGCCCGCGTGCGAGAAGCACGCGCCCAGGGAGTTCGACGCGGCGGCGGCGGCGGCGGGCGGCCCGCAGCCGAAAAAGGGCTTCCAGAGGAACGACATGCGCGTCATCGGCGAGAAGACGCTGTTCAGCGGCTGGAAGAGCAACTACGACTCGACCGAGGACGCCTCGGTCGACCTGGAGCTCGAGTACGGCGTCGGCAAGAACTTTGGCCTCGGCCCCGAGGGCGGCCCCAAGGACAAGCACCGGCACGCGTGCGACGGCAGGAGCGCCGACGGCTCCGAGGTGACGCACCAGCTCATGGTCGAGATGGTGGTGTCGCAGGAGTGGGCCCCCGCCGGCCGCCCCTCGCTGGTGACCCAGACGGGCGTCGGCCGCATCCTGCGCATGCACTTTGCTACCCTCGTCACCGAGCGCGGCGGCCTCGGCATCTCGTGGGACAACGAGGCGCCCCCCGTCTACCAGGACGTCCCGCCCAGCCCGCCCGCCTACGCCGGCGGCCTCGTCGGCCACGGCACCCTCGAGGAGTTTGAGTTCCCCATGCTCACCGAGGCAGACGCCCCGCCGAGGTGGTCGCCGAGCCCTGTCGCGAGCCCCGTCCTGGACGGGCCCAGGCCCGAGTTTCCATGACGGCCTGCCGCTCCTCTTGGAGAGTTATGACGAAAATGACGACCGTTGACGAAAACAAAACAACCACCCCTTTAATCCTAAAAGCTACTTGTCACATTTATTTCATAGTCTATTTGGCGTATCGAACGGCACGTACCCCGGCCAGGATATCTGGGGGACGGGAGTTGCACATCATTTATGAGAATTATTTTATATCGCCATATACCCCCTCTCTACTTTGATCTTTTTTTTTTTCTCTAACAGTGATGATTCCGCAAGACGTCGGTGGTAGTATGGGCCACGGGGGCGGCCGAGGGAACAGTACAGGCATGGCAAAGCTTGCCGAGAGTGGGCGCTTCGGGAAGGAACCGTGGGAGAGCCAAAATGGTTCACATCTAAATCTTTGAAATAATGCCACTCTGATGAAATGTCCCATTCTCTGCCAGCCCATTTGCAAATGTGCTCCTTTCGTATCCGCCTTGTGCTTCTCGCATGTCCTGGGGCGCCGAGACCAACAAGCGTTCTTGGCGCTGGGATGTCTTTCATGGAAATGACCAAAGTCACAGCTTCAGACGATCATGCTTGTCCTCCGAGCCCGACCTTTTTTCGGCTGAGCGAATCCGGCCTGCTTTCATCCAAACTGATCGCATTAAACCCCGCATCCGCTTGCAGGCATGCACTGTGTTCAATAAGCTTCCAGGCCCTGATCTTGGCGCCTGGTGCCTTTGGGGAAAGTCTTGGACATCGAATTGGCTGGAGGGTGGAGGGACGGCAAAAGAGCATGGGACAGCCAGAGCACTGACCGAGAACAAAGAGCCCGGTCCAGACGGAGCAGGGTTCTGTGGGTATACGTGAGGCACTATTTTACCATCAAATGCTGGAATAATTCGACCGGACGATCCAGTGCGTGTAACGGGGACAGGAAAACACCAGTAACTAAACCAACACCAATCCAGGACATCGGAGGAATTTGGGAGAAGGTACCAATTGAGCCAGGGATTACTCCTAGACATGGCCCGGTATCCCTGCTAAGTACCTTCATCCTATTTTATTTGCACGGTCCGTTCGAATTATTCCAGCATTTGATGGCACAAAAATACCGTCCAGAGACGGAGAGCCAAGCATGGCAAAGCCTCATATTTGCTGCTTCTGTAGCGCCCTCCAGATGCTCCAAGGCAGCTTCCAGCTCGGCCCAACCTTGAACGGGTCAAAGTTTTGCTTCTCCAGGCGCTGCAGGAAGTCGGCCGCCGGCACCGCCTCCAGCAGCGCGCCGAAGCCCCGCCGGAGATCCGCCGCGACCTGCTCGTCGGCGGCGGCGGCGGCGGCGGTGACGCCCCCCGGCTGCTGGGGGCGCGACCCCTCCCGGCTCTCGTAGACGTGCTCGGCCTCACCCTCGTGCTCGTAGTCGTGGCCGGCGTCCCTGCCGGCCCGCAGGTTCTTGAGCATCTCGCGGGCCGTGATGAGGTGATCGTTTGCGCGCGTCGCCACCTCAAAGACGGCGTCCTGCAGACCCGGCGCCTGCGGGCCCTTGCGGAACACGTCCTCCTCGCGCACGCCCGCGCGCGCCATGACGTCCAGCGGCAGCAGCAGCGCCTGCTGCTGACCGCTGCTGCTGCTGCTGCCGCCTCCCATGGGGGTCTGGACGGGCGCGCGGGGCGCGGCGAGGATGGGGATGCCGCGCAGGACGGCGACGATGCCGCAGGCCTTGCCGATGTGGCTGGCCAGGTGGTCGAGGTGCAGGGAGCGCAGCGGGGCGGCGGCCAGGACGGCGTACGTTAGCGTCGCGTACGTGTGCTCGGCATACTCCTCGAGCGCGGCCAGCGAGGCGAAGGGCCGGTTGTCCATGTGCAGCTCGCGCGTGCTGATCAGGCGCTGGACCCAGAACTTCATGGACGACGTCGACGGGGCCACCACCCCGCCGCCGCCGGTGGTGGTCCCGCGGGACGACAGGTCCGACAGGGCGCGGTGCAGCAGGATGCAGATGGGCTCGCGCGGCGGGCGGCCGGCAAAGGTGGCGTTGACGCTGTCGCGCCAAAACTGGGTGCGCATGCGGCCGAGCAGCGGCGTCGACACCGTCTCGGGCAGGCGCGCGAGCTCGAGGTTGAGCGCCCGCAGGGCGTCGTACGCGTCCCGGGACGGCGGCGGCACGAACCGCCGGATCAGGTGGGAGTCGTAGTCGCCGGCGCGGAGCTGGGCCTGGCAGTAGGCGCGCGCCTTGTCCACATCCGCGTCGGTGGCCATGCCCCGGCGCCGAGGGGCAGAGCCCGGGCCGGCATTGCGCGGGCGCGCGGCGGCTCTGGCTGCGCGCGTGCGGAGCATTGTGCGCTGCAGATCTGGCAGGGGGGAAGGAAGGTACTCAAGGAATGTGCTGTTCCATTTTCAATACATGATCCAGGTTCCCGAATAAATCAAAGCGGGCAGCTGTCCAATTGCTCCCGCCAGTTGAAAGATTCCGTCGTCTTTTTTTTCTCTCCATCTCCAATTTTTGACAACCATGACGAAATCCCTAGGTCGGAATAGCGCTGGGTGGGGTGCATATCCACTAATTGCCGCCACCACTTAAACGCGATCAGCTGACAGCGCTGCCTGCACGCGTCGCTAGTGGTCGTCGCGCCAGGAACTGGAGGTGTCAAATCTATCAATTCAGGACTGTCCATCTGGCCCGCCCGCTCTTCCCAGTGTGTCGCTGTCGACTGCCCTCGAACAGCTCTTCCTCTATCAACGCTGAGAATGGAGACCTCAGATTTCGGCGAGCCTCCAGCCAAGAAGCGCCGATTCTTGAGCGGCTCGGACGACGACAATGGCAATAGCATAGCCCCGAACCCGGTCCCCCACGTTAAGCCTGTCTCCTTGGACGAAACCTCTGGCGGGGACCCCTTAGAAGAGCCACAAGACAATGTCAAACCCCTGGATGATGTCAAGCCCGAGCCTCCCACAGCTCCCGAGGAACCCAGCGGTTTTGACCGCCAGACCTTCGAAGCCTTTGTGGGTAGCGAGGTCAAGCCCGAGATCCTCGCGGTCATTCAGCAACAATGCGGCACCGATCTCGAACGAGCCGTCAACATGTTCTTCGACGGCACATGGAAAAACTTCAAGCTCAAGCCGAAAGGCCCCTCGCTCCCCATCCAGTCGGCCGCCAGCAGGAAACCGAATCCCGCCCCTCCGCCTCAACCAGCCATCGTGGCACCGAGGAGGACGTTCCACGCGCGATATGTCGGGGCCTTTGGGGTCGAAGGCTGGGCTACGAGAAGCGGCACCGATCTCTTGAAGCATGGGGACGTCGTCAAGATTGAGAGACAGAAGATCCAGCCCCCCAAGCCTCCGACTAAAGGTCGGGGCGGCAGGCTCGGTGCGCCCCCCGCGGTCGGGCTCCGGGTCAGCGCCGCCAAGCGGGTGGATGTGATCGTCCGCTTCACCGACAAGAATGGCACTGAGATCGGGCGCCTGGCCAAGGACACAGCCAACTGGGTGTCGACGCTGATAGACCAGCGCATATGCAAGTTCGAGGGCACCTGCGTGTACTCCCCTGAGCGGCTGCGGACCAACGACACCGTTTTCATCCAGCTCCGGTGCTCCCTCCTACAGGAGGCCTTCGAGAAGAGGACTCTCATGGTGTCTGACAACCGCATCACGGGCATGTTTGAAGAACAGGAGTCACAGGAGGAGCGCAACCTTCGCCTCCGACAAGTCGCTCTTGTCCGTCTTTTCCAGGAGATCAACCTGATGCCCAGCAAGTCCCACGCCACGGCGGCCAAGGACTCGCGCGAGGGCTTGCTCGAAGCGGCAGAGATGGCTGAACAGAGACAGAAGCAGGCCCAGCAGACTCCAAACAGCGACAACCAAGAATCTGCAGCATCGTCGGATGCTGAGGATGGCAAGGAGCTGGAGCAGGATCAGCTCGATGCGCTGTACAAGAAGGCCCAGTCTTTCGATTTTAACACGCCCGAAGCTGAGCCTGCGGATACTTTCGCCATGGAGCTTCGCCCTTACCAAAAGCAGTCTCTACATTGGATGCTTTCCAAGGAGAGAGACGAAGGCAGCTCGGAAAGGGAGCTTTCTATGCATCCTCTGTGGGAAGAGTATCAGTGGCCAACGAAAGACTTTGACGACCGCGACGTTCCACAAACGGCTGGCCAGCCCAACTTTTACATCAACCCGTACTCTGGCGAGCTGTCATTAGAGTTCCCGGCACAGGAACAGCATTGCCTGGGCGGTATTCTTGCCGACGAAATGGGCCTCGGCAAGACCATCCAGATGCTGAGCTTGATACACACGCATAGGTCCAAGATGGCCCTGGAGGCGCGCAGGGCACCTGGAGATGTTGTGAGCATCAACAGTCTCCAACGCATGCCGTCAGCTGGCTTCAGGATTGTCCCTGCACCCTGCACCACGCTCGTGATCGCACCCATGTCGCTGCTGTCACAGTGGCAGAGCGAGACAGAAAAGGCGTCCAAAGAAGGGACCATGAAGTCGATGCTTTACTACGGCAGCGAAAAGAACATCGATCTCCAGGCCTTGTGCTGCAACCCCGCAACTGCCCCCGACGTCCTAATTACCAGCTACGGCGTTGTTCTCTCCGAGTTCAGCCAGCTCGCGGCGAGGAACTCGAACCGAGACGGCCACCATGGCTTATTCTCGGTCCATTTCTTCCGCGTCATCCTGGACGAGGCCCATAACATCAAAAATCGCCAGTCAAAGACGGCCAAGGCCTGCTATGACCTCTCCACCGACCATAGGTGGGTGCTGACCGGAACGCCAATCGTTAACCGGCTAGAGGACCTGTTCAGTCTCGTACGCTTCCTGCGTGTTGAGCCATGGAGCAATTTCTCCTTCTGGAGGACTTTCATCACGGTGCCTTTCGAGTCCAAGAACTTTATGCGCGCTCTTGACGTTGTGCAAACCGTTTTGGAGCCTCTGGTGATGAGGCGGACTAAGGAGATGCGGACCCCATCTGGTGAACTGTAAGTCTCCTTGCCCGGTTGGCTTCTTGGGGCCCGTGATGATTCAACTAACACACCTTTAGCCTGGTGCCCCTTCCGCCCAAGACGATCGAAATTGTCAACGTCGAGCTTTCCGAGCAGGAGCGCGCGGTCTACGACCACATCATCCAGCGAGCAAGAAACGCATTCCAGGAGAACGTCGAGGCCGGCACCGTCATGAAGGCGTACACGAGCATCTTCCTCCAGATCCTGCGGCTCCGGCAGTCGTGCTGCCACCCGATCCTGGTCAGGAACCAGGACGTCGTGGCGGACGAGGACGTGGCCGGGGCCGCGGCGGACGCGGCGGCGGGCCTGGCCGATGACATGGACCTGCACTCGCTGATCGAGCGCTTCACGGCCAGCACGGACGACCCGGCCGACGCAAACGCCTTTGGAGCCCACGTCATGGAGCAGATCCGCGACGAGGCCGTCAGCGAGTGCCCCATCTGCGCCGAGGAGCCCATGATCGAGCAGACGGTCACGGGCTGCTGGCACTCGGCCTGCAAGAAGTGCACCCTCGACTACATCAAGCACCAGACGGACCGCCACCTGGTCCCGCGCTGCGTCCACTGCCGCGAGCCCATCAATGCGCGCGACCTATTCGAGGTCGTCCGGTACGACGCATGCGAGGACGATAATGGCGACGACATGCCAAATGCATTCCGACCACAAAAGCAGCAGCCGTCGGCCGGGCCACCGCGCATCAGTCTGCAGCGGCTCGGCGTCAACAGCTCGTCGACCAAGGTGGTGACGCTGATCCGGCACTTGCGCGAGCTGCGGCGCGAGCACCCACGCATGAAGTCTGTCGTCTTCAGCCAGTTCACGTCCTTTCTCTCGCTCCTCGAGCCGGCGCTGGCGCGCGCGCGCGTGAGGTTCCTTCGCCTCGACGGCACCATGGCGCAGCGGGCGCGCGCGGCCGTGCTCGATGAGTTCCGCGCCTCGGACCGCTTCACGGTCCTGCTGCTCAGCCTGCGCGCGGGCGGCGTCGGCCTCAACCTCGTCGACGCCAAGCGCGTCTACATGATGGACCCCTGGTGGAGCTTCGCCGTCGAGGCCCAGGCCATCGACCGCGTCCACCGCATGGGCCAGGACCAGGAGGTCAAGGTCTACCGCCTCATCGTGTCGGGGAGCGTCGAGGAGAGGATGCTGCGGGTCCAGGACCGCAAGAAGTTTATGTGAGTTGTTTTTGGTTTTTGTTTTTGTTGTTTGTTGGGCTTTCTTTTCGTTAGACGCTACCACCACGTACATCTCTGCTAACTCTTTTGCTATTCTGCGCTTCCCAGTGCCACGTCGCTAGGCATGATGAGCGACGAAGAAAAGAAGCTGGCAAGGATTGAGGACATCAAGGATCTCCTGAGCTGACCCGAACCCAAGCCTGGCGACACGATAATCACGAATTATGACGGAGGGCCGGGTATAGAGAGGGTGAAACGAATTCATTTGCATATAGAAGACGGAAGAAAACTCTTTTTATATGGCGCCTTTACTCCTAACTGGGCTCAACGAAGAGGAACGTGCACATTGCGAGCGTACAACAAGCTTTGCAGTAACGGCTTGCCTTTTTCAACATACTATCGCAATATACAAGCTCACCACAGAAACGGCCAAAAGTATGCACCAGGCAGAGACTGCCTACCCAGGAGGTGTTGGAGCGAATGATTGCACCTGTACTTGGCGTTTATGAGAACTGGCGTATTTTAGCCGTAAGAACGGGATTTCCATCCTTCACACATCAAAACGAGAAAGCAAAATGAGTGTGGTGGCGAGGGCAAAGAAAACATGCTTCAAACGAGAGACCAGACACTGACTGGGATGTGAACCGCCAGAGAAAAGGTGCTTGAAACAAGCGCACCGCCGTCGACGAGGTCCAAGCCTAATAAAGAAAAATAAGGAGAAAAGCCAAGGAGCCACACGGACAAAACCAAATCGCAGTGAAAACCCAGAATTGCCCGCTGAGAAAATCAAAGTAAAACACGGCTATCCAATTATTGCGTCCCGAGACCCGATTTTGCTATCACGCTTTGCACACCCAGTCGTCGACACCCATGTCAGAACAAATCCGTACCAACCAAATCCGTTGCCATCCGCTGACCCAGCATCAGATTGAAGACAAAGTGAAAAAGATAGAGAAGAAGAAATGATAGGGCATATAGAAAGCAAGTCGGTAATCAAGATAGAGTAAATGGCGGCCGGGCTTGCGCGCCAATCTGCCGTAGGCCGTACTTTAGCGGTACCTCCTCAGCAGGACGTGGTCGGCGTTCTCAAAGTTTGTGCGGGAGAAGGCCTTGCGGACGACATTGGCCACTTCAGGTAGACCGTCGACGGGACGGACATCGTGGCCACAATGGCCAAGTCCGATGGACGCAAGGGTGGTGAGCACCTGAGGTCGGCTGGCGGGCAAACAATCTGTAAGCCAGCTGAGAATGCGCAGCTGGCTGATGAAGCGAACATCGCCCGGCAGCAGCATGGGCGGGTTCGTCTTGACAGAGTTGAGCGGGGTCTGGGGCTCCGCCGCCGCCGCGCGTTGAGGAAATCCCCCCTTGCCGCCGACGAAGGTGGCCGAGGATGGAGGAGTAGGTAGGGTCGGCTCCGACGTCTGAACAACGCCGTCGATGAAGACAGAGTCGTGGCGGTGTCTCTCTGGCTGCTGCTGCCGACCATTGTGGGGCGATGGGGCTTCCAGCGGCGGGGATCGGGGAAAATGCTGCTGAGGTGGAGACGATGGGAGCAGGGGCAACGACCTGACATATAGAGGTTGATCCGGGCCCATCTCCTGGTCTTCCCTGCGGGGCGGGCTATCGTGCCCAATATCCCTCTCGGGCGATGGTGAGGGTGATACGGGGATGAGGGTCACGGGGTTCGCGTCCGAGGACGAGACCCTAACAGGGGCGATAGCGATGCGGGCTGCGGTGACGTTCCACGACATGTCTGGGTTCTGAACACTCACGTGCATGACGTCGGCGTCGGATTCCGGGACCGTGTCGCACATGTCGGCAAGTTTGGAGGTGCAGCAGGTGCAAGTAGTAGAGAAGGCCGAGTTGTAAAAGTCGATGTTGGTGTGCGATAGAGCAGCGCCGGCAAGGTACTTTGTCAAGCGGGCAGTCCAGATCAGCACCGTCGTGTACAGTGTCACCTCCTGCATGAGCGTAAAGGTAGCCTGGTCTCGCCGAAGGAAGGCCGGTGGTGGGATGCTGGAGCCGTTGAGGACCGAATGGTCGTACAAGTCGGGACCCACGAAGCCCATTACGCCCGGGCGGTACTGGTCATCGTCGGTCAGGTTGAAGGCCCAGGCTAGCGCCTTGGCAGCCAGGTCCGGGTGGGCAGCTTCCCATTGGATGCGCCAGTTTGCGAGCTTCTCCTTGAGCACTTCGACGCGTCGTTGCAGGGACGGGACGACGTCAGGGTCCTCGGCGCGCTCAGTCGGGAAGCCAGCGTTGTACCACATTATGCGATTGCCCATGAGATTGAGAACCCCCGAGATCACGGTGGGTATTTCGGTCATCAGGTCGAGCAGCTTGCTGGTCCAGGTTTTGAGATGTGGCGCTTTGGCCCAAGGGACCGTCTTCCACTCCTCATTGGCCAAGAAGGACGGTGTCCGACGGACAATGCTGTTTGAGATCTGGAAGAAAAAGCCCAAGGTTAGAGATCAAGCAACTAAAGTTAGTACGACTGGGACGCAAGGCACATGGACGACGAACCATGGTCAAGCGGCACGAGTCGAACACGGGTAAAAGCGAAGGCGACTGGAAGTACTCGGGTCCGCAGTATTCTAGTATACGAGACAAGCCGCGGTGATGGGTGAAACGCAAATCGTTCTCGACCGAGATCTAGAGAAGCGGGTTTCCGACGTTAATCAGCTTGGTAGGGAGGAGAGGAGACAAAGGGCAGGAAAGCAGACATACCAAGTACGAGCCCATAATGGCAATTGGTTTAATCAGGGAGGCGAGCTCGTCCTTGCTCTGGGTGGACAGCTTGGCGCGCAGCTTACTGAGCGTGCTGCCGTACAGACGGGCGCCCTGCGACTGGAGGCTCTGGATGTGACGGTCCTTGCCCAGCAGACCGTAGGCGAGGGCGCGCAGGCTGTCGTGGGCCATGTTGCCGTCAGAGAGAGCGTTGCGGATGCCCGAGTCTTGCAGCATTATGCTGTGCATGTTGATCCAACCATACGAATCGAAGAAGTAGGAAAAGGCAATGTCATCAACAAAGCCGGTCAGGGACAGCTCGGGCGGCGGGGAAGAGCTGGCGGTGCGGGAGCTGCGGGTGCGACTGTCGGAGCTGCTGGTAACGGAGGACTGGCTCTGGGGCCGCTGCCGCTGGGCCTGCTCGGCGGCGGCTTGCCTTGCGCGGACCAGCTGTTTCTGTTGCTGCTGGCGCTTGGCCTTGGCCGACGACATGGGTGTCTCATCGGGGCCGGTGGCAGGGAAGGAGGAGACGGTCTGGATCTTGGCCAGGCGGGCGGTGCCGGGCTTCGCGCCGGCGACGACCGAGTGGCTCTGGATGCGGAGGACCGTCTCGTAGCCCTTGCATTCGTATCCGGCCTTGATACAGCGCTCGCAGGTCGGACGGGCGCGGTCGCATTTGACGCGGCGCATGCGGCATGTGTGGCAGTTGCCACTCGTCGGGGCACGTCCCATGGCGGCGGTCGGTTGTTGCGAGTGCTTCACTCGGGAGCCAAGGCGGAGGGAGGCTAAGGGCACTCTAAAATGGGAGCTAGCCCAAGTGATCGCGGACCGAGGCAAGAGAGCAGCAGCCTAGGCAGAGAAGGTTGCGGCGGAGAGGCTGTAGACAAGACAAATCCGTCCAGCGGCGTCGATGTTGATGTCGGTGTTGGCAGCCGGTTTCGATCGTGATTTGGACCAAGATTGACCCCAAGGGCTGGATTGAAAGACGCGGTCCCTGCAGGTGGCAGTGCTCAGGTGGGACGGTTTCCCGTTCTTTCTTTGCGGTTCAGCTGGCTTGTTTGGCCCTCTCGACTTGCACAGGCGAGTGCAGTTGGTTCGGACGAGGCGGGCGACGCCAGACCCCAGGTGTTTTATTCCAGACGGGCCAGATCCGCGGCCGAGGGGTCCGAAACTGGGCGCAGGCAAGGGCAGGCAAGGGTGCGTCAGTTGGGGGAGGGGATGGGGTCTTGCTGACATGGTGTGTAGCAGATGCGCCCGCACTCTTCTTTGCCGCAGAGCTGCTCAGCCTGCTTGTTGGCTGAATGCATTTCTCGGCCGCGGGCAGGCCTCGCTCACATGCATGTCACAGCATGGATTGGTGGCGCGCAGCAGTGGGAGGGCTGGCATCGATCCGATCGGGAAGGATGAGGGCGGGCGGCGAGAAGCACCACCCGTGCGGCCAAGACTCTAGACCAAGACTGGGGACCAAGACTGGGGACCAAGACCGGAGACCAAGCCTGGAGAGAGGGGACCTTCTGGTCAAGCGGGGTCGTTCCTGCCTCAACGTCGAGTCCCTTGCCAACACGGCAGCCTGGCAGCCTCGATCAGAGGGGAAGAATCTGGAGGCGAGCCTGGTCTCTTCTCCAACAGCAAGCTGCCCGGTTTGGTCCAGACCAGGGAAGCCAACAAACAAAGGACAAAAACCCACCCAGTAACAAGGGGGTAACAGGGGGTTTGAAACTGGAGATCGCAAGGGTTTTGGTATGTTACGAGACTTCGGGAATTTTTCGTCCTTTAAAGCTTTTCTCGATTTCTTTCTTTCTTTTCTTCTTTCACCAACTTCAATAATGGCAGTGACTTTATGCCATTACGTGACCCCCTTTTTCATTACCCTTGTGATCTCCAGTTTTAACCCCCCTGTTACTGGGTGGGTTTTTATCCTTTCTTTCCCTCGCTGATGGTACATACTATCAGTGCGAGTGCGGGGCTCGGGTGCTCGGCCTGTCTGCATGCTGCACACGCTTGCTTTTTGGGGAGTCGATGTTGGCCGTTTGCTGCTCCACTTGGCGGCGTTTTGCCCCTTGCTAGCCGTATTTTGGCCGTGCTCATTTTGCAGCTGGACCTGCGCTAAGATACCTTTTTTTTTCTGTTGAATTTCACTTCAAACCCCGACTGACTGGATGGCCGTTCTGGTGAGCAGCCATGAGAATAGTGGGCTTCTAGCGACTAAATGGTGCTACCAGGTACCTGGACCACACCCTGCACGAAGAGACGAAACCAAGCACGATACACTCGCACCTGACGCCGACCCAAACGGGCCCATCCGGGAAAGCCCTGGCCGGTATCCGCCGCACGGCCGCTCATGTCGCTATCTTTGGCACGTGCAGCTGTCGCGCATTTCTGCACTCTTGACAGCGCGTCGTCTAGGAAGTGTTAGAGTGTCAGCGCTCCCAGTGCTAGTACTCGCCTCATCCTTTCGCCATGATGGGTCCCCTTGGAGCCCTCCCTCCGTCATCTCTGTCCCCTCCTTACATACAGCCTATGCAGGCCTTTCCATCCAGCTCTGCGAGTGGATGGCACCCCTGCAAATTATCATGTCTGTGCCACGCCTGTTGCAAAGTGCCAAGGCGCGCCATCATGCCCTCCCCGAAATCGTACAGGCACGGTCCACGGTCCACTGTCCACCTTGGCCGACTGGTGGCCAGCAAGCATTGATCAACCGCCATCCTCCTGATTTGCCTCTCTTTTGATCGGCGCCCCTCTGAAATCACCATCGCTAGCAGCAACCCGTGCAGCATCTCGGTTGGTATGGCACGGCAGCATAAGCTGCATCATGACAACACGGGACGATCCACGACTTGCGCGTCTCTCCAGCGAGAGGTCTGGCTGACATTACCTCATGGTCGCTGTCGTTGGTTCCTGGCCTTGCCGACGACGTCACATCACTTCTAGTCATTATGGCTAGCAGGTCAACTACGCTTTCCCGTCAGTCGCCCAGCCGGAAAGGCCCGGGAGGGCCGCGGCAGTCTGGACTACCTGGGCAGTTGCCCAGTGGCACAGTGTTATCTGCCTCCATGCCGGCAGTTCGGACACACACGCCAACGGCTGTCTGCATGTGTACGGAGCCAGTCAAGGCCTTATCCTAATTGTCGCCGTCCGAGCCTCGTTCTTTGCTTCTATCCTCGCCTGTGTCTCCCAGGCCTTGGGTCGAGACCGCGTTCCAAAAGAGGCGTCAGATCGGGATCAGCACCCTTCTTCAATCCCCCGATCCTCTTTGGGGACGACGGTGGCGCCATGTTGAGATTATCAGGTCTAGAATGCCCTGCCCAGAGCGGTGTGACGCCCCTCGATTTCTCTTGTGGTCGGTGAGCGGACGGAAACTTGCCTGCAAAGCCCAACATATTTGGGCCATATGTGGCTTGGCCTTTGACACGTGCGTCCCGGATGCGTGTTTTCTGGCAGATCCCGACCTTGCTGGAGACACCGCCAGTGGGACAACCGTGCGCAACTAACGCCTCACCCGAAAGGTAATTGGATTGGTGGTACGGACCAAGCAGCACGGGATCGGGGAACATTCAATTTTTTTTTTTGGCTTTTTCTCTTTGACTGTTCTCTCCAATCCCAAACGCAATCCCGGCAGAGGGAGATCGGCATTATGCCAAGCAAACAGATGCGTGGTGGGGACCTTGACTCACCTCCAGAGTTGTGTACTTACGATACTGAAAGTCGACTGTGACAGACGCCAAGATTTGCCCAACCGCAAAAGATGCCGAACATGAGGTCCCTAGAGCGCCTATCACATCTTGCCGGGACGCCGTCGGTGCTTTACACCAGCAAGCTTCCCTCAGCCGACGTGTTACCCAACTTCCGGCTAGAGAGTCGCCCCTTTGCGCTCCCATCGTGTCATCTCTCTTGCCCGACTGACCATGCGGAATCTATCACCAATCGCAGCGCCGGGTTCTCTGTCGTCGGGCCCGACGTCACTCAGTCCCCTAGGTGGAGCGGGTGACCTCTGCGCGAAGCAAACGAGGGATATAAAGTCAGCTTCGTCAGCCTTGAAAATCTTGTCCGATTCCCCTTGATACTCGACTGAGCCAGACAAACGACCTGGACACAATTCACAAAGCCACCCATATCAAAAAGATTCAACAAGAGTCGTACGAGTTACACACTACACCATGTCAGACACAGGACGTCACCGGCGTTCGCCAACACCTTACCCAAGCCGCGGCCACAGCAGGCACTCGCATCGGCAGTCAAATGCTTCGCGGCTTTTGAGCAGGCTCATGGACAATGCTCTGCACCGATGTGGCCTAGGCCGTCTAGAGCCGGTGCGCAAAGACGATGAGAAGGCAGAGACCCGGCGATCAAGCACGGGCTCGACGCAACCCCTTCGAGAGAAACCGTCCCACGACGCTACGACAACAGGACGCGGAAGCTCAGCCGCCGGCTCACAAGGCCGCGTCGCTGAGGGTCGATTCCGCCGACTGATCAGTAGAATGGTTTCCCGCATCACGGGCCTCACCTGTGCCATTTTAGATCTCGGCCTCAGGAAGCCATCCCTGTCCCGTCGTCATCATCGCGGCCGACGCCGTGGAACGTGGAGAGGCTTCAACTTCGGCCGAGGCTCGAGGAAGCTCGGGATGAGATCCGTGTCCCCCCGCAAAAAGGACCGATATCCCCGCGCCGACAGCGAGGACTGGAACCCTCCGCAACCCCGCAAACGAAGCGCCCAACCAGACGATGCCAGCGACAGGATACGGGGCCGCTCACACGACTCAGCCCCGGTCCACTGTCGACTACAAGAAGACCAACGAGAGAAGCTCCGGGCCGGGTTGGAGGAGCTCCAGGTGGCCATGCGGTCAGAAAGCGGCCCCCACCGTCCCAGCGACCCCCCGACGGCTGCGGCTAGGGCCAAGTTTGCAGAGCATGTTGACCGACTAGTGGACGTGGCCTCGGGCGCCGAGGATCTGAGGCTATCAGCCCGACACGACACGGCAAGCGACGACGGAAGTGGACGACAAAGAGGGAGGCAATGGGGACGCAGCGGATCGATCAGGTGGGACGACCGGACCACCATCTCGTCGTCTAGCGAGCGCAGGTAACCGAAGCGCGCATCCCGCCGAGCTCTCTCAAGGAGAGAACAAGACGAGACGGTCCCCTTGGTGGGAAGAAGCCCAATTGCGACCACGGGCTGAGACGGGGTCGACGAATCCCGTTACGAAGATGGCGCCGTTTGCCCGCCGCCGGAGAAGCGGCTACGTCATTGGGCCTGAAGCGTGGGCAGAGGGACACCCGAAAGTGGCTCGATCGTCTCCTGATTGTCGCTCGGGCCGGGACCGGGGAGAAGTCCTTTTCTGGGTGGGAAGGGATTGACGCCTTTAGTCCCTGGACCAACCGATGTCATGTGGTCCAGCGCCGGCGGGATAAGAAAAAAAGGCAGGGCGAACCTCATGGCTGCGACGGATGCCACGTTTCCCAGAGCGGGGCAAGATTGCGCAAGAGGTGGATGGACGAGGGGAGAGGAGAGGAGGGAAGGAGATATTCGATGTGGCTGCTGCCATTGCCGTGTCTCACGGCTTCGGATTGCACGGCGTGCTGCTGGGACGGCATGTAAGATGGCGAGATTGACTGCATCTCCAAGGCCTGTTTGTGTTTGGGCGGGATTGATTGATTGATTGATTTCCTGGGGGACTTGTAGGTGTTTTGTGTTTTGGGCTGCGAGGATTTGGTTGTCGAATGGGGCACACGGGCACATCCCTGTTTCCCCGCCGCGCGGCCGCGAGACGCAAAAGACGTGCGACCAACAATGCGCGCCAATCCCGAGCATCGGGCTCCAGGTGGTGCCCAACGGGTTGGTTGTGGATAGTACTGGGCTTGGGTCTCGGGAGCCAAGAAAATTGGATGGGCACATCCGGCCACTTTTGTCCCTGCTTTCGCTTTCAGCTGCCGATATGGATTCGGTGTTGGCATCGCAGGGTCAAGGACAGTAGGTATGGCAGAAAATGTGATTAAAATCTCGTATGTCAATTGCATGGGGATAGGTAGATTCATGGTGTAGAGCCCAACCAACACAAACTGATACTAATACATTAAAACGCCACGGACTACGAGGCTGCGACGTAACCAAGAAACCAACAAACGAATATGAGAAGAGAGCAAACAAGGAACTGTGACTACATGGTTCAAATCTGCTCCAAAAAAAACCCTGCTCAACTCTTTTTTAGTACAATACCCAACTTCGGTGCGCCAAAAACTCCCGCTCGAGAATCGCCCGATGATGTCGAGGTATTATTTCGAGCCAGATAAGGAAACCGCAACTACAACTGGGAAGGAAATCGCGTTGATAAAGGGATGGGGCGTAGTCTCTCTGACATGCTGCCGAGATAGGACAGTGGTCGCTTTGCTTGTAATGTCTCCTGTTAATTGTAATGCCTTTGCGTGCTGTCGGTCCGCCTGTGTCGTGGTCAGTCTAAAGGTCATTATATCAAGGGGGCTCAAGGGCTCGGATACTTACTTCATCCGAGATGGGCAACCCTGGGCCCTGATGAGGCCCGACCAACTCCAACATTCAGCAAGCAAAGAGCGCCGGTGTGGACTAGACCGCGTCCGCCCATCTTTCTGGTCATGCCGGCGGTGGATCCGCAGGGGCGGCGGCGGCGTCGGTGGAGCTGCCCGTGGACTTGCGGTGGCGGTGGCGGCGGTGGTGGTACTTCCTGCGGCGGTTGAGGGGGCGGAAGTAGTACAGAAACCAGAAGACGAGGATGATGAAGGCCACCAGCAGGATGCCGACCACGATGCCGACCGTGGCGTTGACGCTGAGCTGGCCGGGGTCCTGCCGCCGCCGCAGCCCACGCGGCGGCGGCTGTGATATTGCTGAGGATGGCAAAAAGGAGGAGGAAGGAGACGAAGAAGCAGCAAAAGAGGCCCAGAGGGTGTTTGCAATGGAGGAAACGGCACCCCGGAGCCACGCTGGCGTCTCAATGGCGACGGATACGGGCTCCTCCGCACCCCGGCCGCTCGATGGGTACGGTATATACATTGCCCCGTCCCAGAGGCCTCGGCGGAGCTAGGTGTAGGCTGGTGGATTCCGTGGCGGCGGCAGCGGGTGGGAGAGGCGTGCTCTGGGAGCCCGAGGGGTCTCGCGCCGAGGTCAGCTAAGGGTGTGGGTGCTACAAGAGGCTTGCTCGATCCAGCCGGTCCCGCGTGAGGGCGTATCAGTCAATGGGGAGCGGCCATTGTCCGAGGAGTGGCGAATATTTATGGGGGGGACGGGGGGTCTGAGGCGCTATGTATGGGAGGCGGCCTGCTTGGTTGTGGGTTTTTTCTTCTTCCCCAATGCGCACTGCACGGAAAAGAAGACCGGTAGAGAAGAATGAGAGAAAAAGGAGGCTAACGAGAAGATTGGCAAGGGAGAGACGGGAGCAGGCAGGATGAGGTTGTGAGAGGAAGCAGCAGGTAGGGCAACATGCTGCATGCAGAAGAAGGGCAAGGCGGCGACGGGCAGCGAGAGGGATACATATCAATTATCCATCAAGAAGGAAGGTCGGGTCCACACACTGCGTTGGCTTTTTTTTTTCTATCGCTGCCACCCACCCCCTTTTTTTCTCCGGCTGCGCATATTTTCTGCCCAACGGCGGCGGCGGCAAGCGAGCGACAGAAACGGGGAGACCTGTCAGACAAAGACTAGCACCGAGGAGGGCCGAGATGTCTGGCCAATGCCGCGGGTGTGGTGGCCACGCGAGACGGCGGAGGGGGTGCAAGCCCCAGCACCAACCGTCTCCCAGCAGCCCGCCCACCACCACCACCACCATCCATCCATCCCCTGAGTGTGGATTGAGTAAAAACCGGACGGACTGCCTACGCCCGACCGGCTGCAGGTGGGATTGGAGGGGTGATTTCGAAGATAGGGAGCATTGCGCAACGCCGGCGTGCTTCTTGCAGTAGACGTGTGCTATGTACAGAGCGAGAGGCACAGAGGCAGACGAGAACGAAAAAGAATCGAGGCGGATGGGCAGATTTACACCAGACACTCCCCCCATCCGATGCCCCGGGCGGAAGAAAAGACGGAGGAAAAAAAAAAAAAACGTTCTGGTCCGCCCTGGATTTGCGCACGGCTGGTGATTGGGCGGGCGAGGTCAGGCCCGAGAGGCTTCACGATTGGGGAGGGGAAGTCTGCGTGGGGGGGCGGGGATTGGGGCGAGCAGACGTGATGATTCGCCGTGGGCTTGCAGCAAGCGGGCTGGGGACGCCGTTTGTGAATGGCCTGTGCTTGTGCTGCCTGCTTTGCTGCTGCACTCCTGCAGCTCCAAATGCTGCCGCTAGGCTTTGACTGAATGCGAGTCCGCATCTACTTCTAACCGGCTTATTGGCTCAATCCGTCTTCGGCCGGCCGGCTGCGCATCCCGCAGCGTCCAATGAGCAGGCGGGTGTAATTTTTTGCCTTTTTCGAATTATTGCGCTCCCCTTTTCCTCCTCTTCTCCCCTCCCCTCTCTCATTCTCTCTGCAGGTTCTGCTGTGGTCTGCATCTGCAGTTCCCTCGCCCGCCTACTGCCTATATCTTGGCTGGCAAGGGCAGGGCTAGCGCTCAGCTGACCAACGCCGTCCCCCGCAGCCGAGGCCGGGGTCGGTTTGCCGCTAGACTGGACTAGCTCTGGCTTTATAGGGCAGGTAGCCTATCAGACGGTTGGGCTTCCCGCTGTCCTCAGGCATCGCGGCCAAAGAGCCCCAGCTCCATCCCACCACGCAGGCGAAGTCACAAGTTAACCGCCGTGTATACGTGGTTTCTTGACCCGGCGGGCCCCCTCCCCAAGTGGGACGGCAGCTAGCTGGCCAGCAGACCGAGGAGCCGTCTGCTGAAGGTGACGATGCTAGCGCAGCTGGCAGGATGCCGGGTTAGGGGAACGGGATGGTGGGTATTTGCAGAGGGACCGACGGCTGCCATGGATGGCGGGATAGCCTCCTAGCTGCATCCACGTGTTCCTCGGCCCCATCCGCAGACGACAACCAACGAGCCGAAAACGACGCTTTGGGTAATCCGTCCAAGCGTGCTATGGGGCAGCCTTGGGGGCACTTCATTGCCCAAGTAACCTCTGAGCGTGCGCTGGCAACAGATATTGGCTGTCCACCAAGCCTCGAGCTGGGCACTGAAGAACTAACACCAAGACAAGAAGGCTTCGTGCCGGACCGTTGATAAGCTCAAGCGGCAGACTGGAGGCTCTCAGGATTTGACAGTGCTATCTCAACGTCGCGTGAAACCGCCACCATGCCCAGCGGGTGCTGTCCTTTGCAGCAGCTTGGCAGGAGCGCCCACACCCCGTGACCTTGCTGCTGCGGAAGGCTGCCACAAAGCTAGCCCGTGCGTGTACATTCGTAGATTTATGGACTATTGTGGCTTTGGCTCTGGTCGGTTCGCTTGCTTTTAGGTCTTTTTTTTTGTCAGTCGCTTCCCGTCTTTATTCCACGTTAACAGGTGTCAGGTGGGATGAGTCATCGGTGGTGCATGGGCCCTAAACTACCTACTTTAGCCTATCGCATAGATCAGCCCTTTGGGCCTTAGCTTAGACTAAAACACCGCACTTTTTACCTACCACTTAACCATTTGTTTTATGGCGATCCAGGCAGGGATCTACATGGAGTTCCATCCTCCTACCTTGCCTGCATAAAACGGACAATCTGAAGCCTGAAAATCACCATCGCGAGATTCCCTTGGTGTTTTCACGGTCGCGTCGAAACCTCATTTAATCCCCTCCATCGGTCGCGTCACAAAATCCCGCGAAACCCTCATTTCAATTAATCCTCCCGCCCTGCCACAAGCCAGCAAATCTCGTCTTCCTCTCCAACGGGCTGCTAAATAACAAAGCCTTCCTTTTAAGCAAATCCTGTCTTGCCGTTAATCCGGAATCGGACAAGGCAAAACTCGTCAATCCACAGCCGCCACATTCCCTCCCATAGCTCCTTAGCACGTCTCCGAATCCCGCCCTCCGTCAATTTCCGACCATCCAAAAATTTCCAAATTTTCGGAAGTTCCAAATCGCCCTTGGGAGCCACACACCTACCACATTACGTCGACTCAATTCAGCCTCCAAGCCACCTGGCGCCGGCGCCAAACCCAAACGCGCCTCGGGGTACCGCTTGTGGACGGTGTTCAGGATCTTGTGAAGGTCTTGGGCCACTTCCCAGGACCACTCGGGGAGCTCAACGCAAGCCTTGTTGCCGACCACGTCCTTGCAGTAAATGCACTTGGAGGACCCCGTACAGTCATCGGAGCATATCGGCACACGGGGGTCGACGGCATAGTCCTAGTATGCCTAACGACCTAGACAGCGGCCGCAGGACACCGCACGCTCCGTGTAAGTGTCCTTGAAGGGGGGCAGACAGATAGGTTCCCAATCATCGTTTTATTGGGAATCGATAACCTCTTGCGGCGGGAGCGCGTCGCGGACACCCATGTAAAGCGAGGAGGAAGCGGTGTCCGTTTCGGGGGCAGGACCATTGGAATCGAGGGCGTTGCGGCGGCGCTCGTCGCGCGCCTCACGCTTCTTCTCGGCGGCGGTCTTTTTGCCGCGGCGGTTAAAGCCCGCCGGGGGGTTACCGGCAGGACGCTTGTGGGAGGCCTGAGGGGTTGCAGGCGCAGGAGGGTTCGATGGACCCGCGACATTTAAAGGGCCCACCGGGGGGTTACCGGCCGGGCGACTGTTGGGGACCTGAGGGACTGGAGGCTCAGGCGAGTCCGAATCCGACGGAACCACGATAGCTGGGGAGGACACCGGGGGGTTACTAGGAGGGCGCTGGTCCGGGGCCTGGGGGACCGAGGGACCCGAGGCAGGCACCCAGCGGGAGTTCGACTTTCCCACCGCGGCGGTTGTGCTGGACGACATTTGCAGCTACCGGTTAGGTCCAGGAGTTCAAAGGGAGCGGCCAAACACCGATTACTTACGGTTACGGCTATCGAGGTTTTTGGAGTGGTTATCGGAAGTTTAGGGGGAAAAAAAAGGCCCGCGGCCCCGAACTGGGAAAAGGAGCCCTTTTATACCGGCGCGGACCCACTTTTCGAAATATTATAAAGCCCCATAGCCGGTTTCCCCAGGCGCCGCCGGGCATCGGGGCGGCCCGGCGGGATATTACCGATTACCGGCTATTTACGAGATCCCCACGCGCGGCATATGCGGCCTGGGACAGGCCGTGTCGGGAGGGGGCAGTATGTTAGGAGTACGGGCGAGACCGCCCGGCAGAAAAGGGGGAGAGGGGCGCTGGCAGCCAGCCGGGCACGGACCCTTCCGGGGACGTGCCGGCGAGTCGCCGGTGTCGCGGCCAAAGCATAACGGCGAAGTTAAAAGATAGGGTAAAGCTTAAATTGCACGAAAGCGCATGGAGCGCGGAGGACTTATAGGACCGACCCCGCGTGCCCGAAGGGGCACGAGGGAGGGGGAGGTTAGAGAAGGAACAATCTTTGTTGGAGATAGCACCTTTGGTAGGAGATTTACGGAGGCCTGACAAAGGAGACACCGCATCCGGCCCGTGACCTGGTGACCACCCGCCTCTGCACAGATCGACCCCTGACAGAAAGGTCCTATATTGTGCATTAGGAAAAAGGAATTTATCTGGCAAAAGAAAGGCACAGGACTGCCCTTTATATGCACAGGGACGATCACCCAAAAGGGTGGTTCCCTGCTTTGCCTAAAGCAGATAGTGTTGGCCCGTACGGGATCCAAAGGATCCCGGAGCCTTCTGTAACAGCCTCCCTTTTCCGGATCGCACGCGCACAAAAATACTGTTCCAACACTTAAGGTTTATTGAAAATCCTGCTTAAAGGAGAAAACCTGTTTTCCACATTCTCGGTCGCTCCCCAGATTTTCTTTGGAAGACACATCACAATCACCATCCTGGGGAGATCCATCGGAGATCTGTCCAGCTCCAAGTCGTTACCATCGTGGGCTGTGTGAAGCCTTTAATTTCTATCATTTGCTGTCGAATCCTATCCACCCGGTTCATTTTCCTTCTTTCTTTCGAAAGAAAAGATGTGGCGCGTCCTTCTCCCGCCGACCCCACAGAGAGACTTGCAAACACCATGGAGCAGCTGATTCCCTTCATGGAGGCTCTGATGCGGGGAGCCAAGAAGACGCAGACGTCAGCCCCCCTCCCTCCGCCGGGCCACGCTGCCCCCCGGAACGAGTACCGTGGAGCGAGAAACAATCAGTACAAGCCAGCTTTTACATGCTGGAATTGTGATGCTCCCGGGCACCGGCTGGATGACTGCCTCAAGCCCCGAGACCATCAAAAGGTCAGCCAGGCGGCCGCCGCCATGAGGGCTCGTCGAGAGGCTCGGGACGCATTCACTCCTGCCACAGGAGCCAACGTGGAGCCGGTTGCAATGATGCAGTCATTTGTCCCCAAGGCTCTATCACAGGGCGGTGCTCTCTAAGGTTCGAAAGCTGTACGGGCCACGCCGTCGATTGCGCCTACATGCGGGCGGCCAACGTTTGCAACCTGCTGTTCGGCGCCGTCGCGGGGTCCTTGCGCGGCCCGGTGCGCGATAAGGATACGCTCCGGCGCCATTTTTTTGCGCTTACGCTACTTTGCTCAACCGCTTGCCCGATAAAAAGCGTCGTTGTTAACGGCGCCCGCTTCGACCCGCGCGCCGACGTCGTCGTTTCGTCCTACACCAGCCTGCGCTCGTGCGCCGAATCGCTCGGGCCCCTCCTCGGCGCGCCCGTCGCGGCCAACCTAATGCCTAAGGACGCCGAGGGCAATATTGCCGTTGCTACTTACCTGGCAGAAAACGAAATTGAGGGTTTAAAACGAGACGAGGAAATGGCCAAGCATGCGTTTTATATTGACTAGGTATGCTATGGCCGACATCCGTGCCACCCAACATCCTGGGGCGGCCAGGCCGTGCGCCTTCCCCCATGATGCAGATCCCCATCCGTCCATTGGCCAGCTGGTTGAGGCTCTGTTTCCTTTCCCTCCCATCCTAAAAACCAGGCCAAAAACCCTAGGCCTTGGGCTTGGGGCAGGCCGGGTACGGCTTGCCGGCGTAGGTAATGCCGTTCTCCGGGTGGCGGTTGCAGCATGATCCCTAGGAGGAGGAGCAAGTGAGCGCTACGGGTCTGCGCGGTCCCACGTGGCTTCAGGAAGAGATGGGGCGAGACTTACATCACTAATAACGTAGGCGCAGCAGATGGGGTACCAGTAGTCGCCGGGCGAGCCCATGGGGTTGGGCGCCCAGTCGGGGCAGCCGTCTCTGCCCGCGCGGGCCTCGAGGGCGGCGGGGGCGGCAAAGGCGCCGGCGGCGAGGAAGGCCACGGCGGAGGCGACGGTGAACTTCATTTTGGCCGAGGACTAGTTTTTGGCGAAAAAAAGAGGGTGGGCTTGGTTTGTGGCTGGCGGAGGAATGGGCAAACGAGTGTGAAATCCAGGAAGTGTGTGGATGTCTTGGGAGTGGCACAAAACCAAACCAACGAGTCCGGCTGGGTTTCTCTGCTTTATACACGGACGGCGTCGGCGTCGACGTCTTCAATGGAGGGCGAGAGGCGATACGGCGGTGGCCCGTTTCCATTGCCAGCTCGCATAGGAGGCGGGAAATTGCAGAATGGCACCCTCCGCGCCTCCTTCCCCTTTTCTCTGATCGGAGCTCCTTCCTAGCCAAGTCCCGTCCCCTGGCGGCAGCCGATTCGGGGCGGCGGGTTTGGCACAAGTGGGTTCCCCGCGTAACATGGCCATGGAGGGCTCCTCCCCAACGCCCATGTATATCGCGTTTTGGGTTCCAATGTCAGTCGATATGCGCTAGAGATAACGCTGCGCTACCACGGTGCTCCAGTTGCTTGCGCAGCGCCAGCCGCTTACAGCGCCATCGCCAGCGGGGGCTTCCCCAAATACGCCCTGGTACCATCCGCGAGGGAAAGAAAAAGGAAAAACCCACCTCCCAACAGGGGGGTTAAAACTGATCACAGGGGCGGCGAAAGGGGGGTCACGTGTTGGCACAAAGTCACTGCCATTATTAAAATTGGTAAAAGAAGGAGAGAAATCGAAAAAAAGCTTTTAAAGGACGAGAAATTTTTGAAGTTTCGTGACATCCCCCCAAGTCACCACGACCCCTGCGATCCCCAGTTTCAACCCCCCTGTTACTGGGTGGGTTTTTCCTTTTTCTTTCCTTCGCAGATGGCAGGCCAGGTTAAAGTTGGCCCACCCATCCACCGGGGGCGGCCCGCGACCCCAAAAAGGAACAGTTAAATTAAAATCCAGCCCGGCACTTAAGCTAGGGGGGCAATTGCCGGATCAGTCGCGGAGTATGTCGATAATATGACAGCAGACATGTATGAAATCAAGGAAAACAGAGCAAGGGTGGTTGCAATTGGCAGGCAGCATTTGGAATTATATTTCCGTGTTGCTACTTTTCGAATTTTTGTTCGCTCCGTCCCTTTGACGAGCACGCATCGAAAACCCGACGCGAGACGATAGTGGCCCTTTTGTTAGTTTTTGTTTACATGCCTACATACACAAGTCGCCAACGCTGTTGCGGGCTGAAGCCTGGATACAGGGTACCGGCCTGGCCGGTACCAACACCCCCGCCGGGAACTACAGGTCCCAGGGATCACGAACCCTTAGTATAGTAGATCCTGGTGGTACATTAAGGTTTGTGATCCCTGGGACCTATACAACTCCACCTCCGGGATGAGGTCATGTAACCTCGCAGCGAGATTCCTTCCCCATAACAAGGACCACCAAAACGCATGACCAAGACTCGCGCAACAGATCCTCAAAACTCGCTCCGAGATCTATAAGGAAGGACCCCAACGATAGGACCCGCTCAAGGTGCCGCATCGGCAGCACCGAACCCCTCGCTAGGAAAACCCCTACTCAGGGGTTGTACCATTTGTAGGAGTACAGAACGTTAAAGCCGGCCCACGGGGTACAGTGCCCACATAGTGTACTACAGTGCTTTCAACTTTTTTTTCTTGCGCTTTAGCGTCCTTTTGTGATAGGTCAGACCACCAGGTGCCCGGCGGGTGCCGAAGTGGTATTATTCTACGAGATAAGGAGAAAAGGGAGAGAGTTGGGTCCTTGTCCTTGGAGGACTCGGGGTGTTTCCTATATACATGAGTCCTAGCCCAAGGAGCACGGATCCATAACACCTTTTCCTTTTTCCTTTCCGCAAAATATCTAAAATGCAAAGAATGCAAAAAATATTAGGATTAAACCTTTTCCGCATTGGGTTCTTTATTTGCTACGGGCCGGCCTACAAATCCTAGGTACCCTTTACCGTTATCCTATCAAAATTGTGGGGCCAAAATGGTTTTGTTACAGTTAGAGCTATACCCAACCGTAGCTACCGCCAAACGACGGCCTTGCTTAGCTGGCAAGCTGTTTTTCTTCTCGGATATGCCAACGTTTATGTCCATCTTCTTGTCGCCTTGTTTCTTGTAGATATCTTTGTCGAGCTTTGCTGATGACGCCAATCAGGGAGACTTGAAAGTCGCCACCACCATCGTACAAAGCAGAAGCGAGTAGGCGCATACATGGTTAGAAGGTCCCTAGTTGGATCTGTAGTTTACTATCCGTGGCTGCAATGGACCATTATCTGTTCAATTTTTTTTTTTTTTTTTTTGATGGCGAGCTACTTTGGCGCCGCAGATCCCTCTTCCTTTCACGCATAACTGCACAGTCCTACTTCCGTGTGATTTTCCTGGTAACCTTGTCAGCCTCCCCCCATATAAACGCGTCATCCAGATGCACGCAACGCGAGCGTGCGTCCCGCCTCAGGCCCACTTGGCCAGCAGCGCCATGAGGCCGGCGCCGAGCGACATGCAGCTAAAGGCCATGAGCTTGTACTGCATCGAGGCCCGGTCCATGGCGGGGTTGAACATGAACTCGTGGGCCAGCAGCTCGACGACGCCCGTGTACAGCAGGATGCCGCCGCTGACCGCGTTGCAGATGCCCTGGACCATGAAGCGCGTGGTCGGGTCCCGGGCCAGTGCCTCCTTGACGCCCAGGCCCGCGGCGATGGCGACCGGGGTGGTGAGGCCGTAGACGACGCCAAAGATCCACGGCGTCCAGCGGCGCCGGTCGGCGGGCCAGTCGAAGGTGGCCAGGCGCGAGCCCAGGCCGAGCCCCTCAAAGGTCTGATGGAAGACGAGGACGACGAAGAGGACGAGGAACTGCGAGGCGACGGCCAGCGTGAGCCCGATGAAGACCGAGTGCAGCAGGATGCCGGCCTCGAGGATGACGATGGACGTCATCTTGCCCGCGTAGGCGAGGTGCGAGTCGCCCTCGACGTGCTTGCGCCCGTGCCCGAGGTGGTCGCCCGCGCCGCCCGGGGCGGGGACCTCGGGGACCTCGGGTACGAACAGGCCCTCCTTTGGCTCCTCGGTGACGGACCGCCCGCTGCCCGCGGGCGCAGTGGAGTGGGCGCCGTCGTCGAGGCTCGCGGCCTCGACGTCCCGCTTCTTGCCGGCGTCGTACGGGGCGTTGCTGCTGCCGTTACCGTCGGCGGCCAGCTTCTTGTCCTCGAACCAGGACGCGAGCAGCTCGACGAGGAACATGGTCATGACTGTCATGAGCACGATGGCCATGGACCAGTCGTAGCCGTGCAGAAGGCCCTTGAGGCAGTCCTTGCCCAGGATCTCGTTGGCGGGCGATATAAGGTGCATGAAGGCCGTCGACACGATGACGCCGGCGCCGAAGTACTTGGATATAAAGAAGGCGAGCTTGAAGACCCCGGACCCGCTGGCGCGGGACCGGGACAGCCAGATGGGGAAGAGGGCGCCGAGGAGAGAGCCGACGAGGATGATGAAGATGGAGGCGATGCGGAGCTGCGCCCACTCGTTGTCGATCTCGTCGGCCTGGCAGACGGCCGAGGCGCCGGCGTCGGGCGCCGTGCCGTCGGCCTGCCGGCGCAGCAGATGGAGCGATCTGCTGGGCATTCTGATGTGGTGCTGTCGGACTTTTGTGATGGCAGAGTGAGAGTGAGAAGCTCTGAGCCGATGAATGACGATTCGGGCGAGCAACCGGAGAAAAGGATAGCCCAGGTGGCGCCAAACCTCGCTCTTTATACGCAGAACCTTGAGGTAGGAAATGACGGCGAGCTTGAAGGGTGAAGAGTCGAGCCTTCCTGGCGCCTGTTGAGATGGGTCTAGTGGAAGAGCGACGGTACCAGGGGTGTGCCTGGGACCAGATTTCGTGACAGGTCAACACCGAGCTTTGCCCTTGCAGGATTTGATATGCGTGTCCCTGCGGCCGTTGTATGTGGTGCGGTGCAAGAAGTGGTGATACGCTCCAAGAAAACGCAGTGTAGCGTCTGTGATGCAGAGGTAGAGAGTGGACGATCCCAAGCAGGCTGCGCTTGAGCGGTACTTGGGGGCCGGGAGGATATCCAGCAGATGAGGAAGGTCGTGGTACTTCTCTACAGCGAAGGCCGCTGAGAAAGAAAAACGGGAGCGGGAGAACTTTGACTAGTCGGAAGTACCCTGGCAGGGCTTTGGCAGGGCCGGTGGGGACTGTGTCTACCTATCTGGCCATCAAGGTGCGCATTTCTATCTGATGCCCGCGGGACTAAGGGCCTGCTCCGCAATGGAATGCAGCCATGTGCCAGCTAGGTCGTAGTGGCTGACGTGCTCTGTGCCGACCTCGCCTGCACTAGAGGTCGGCCACCTATCAGCGGAGCACCGAGTGTTGCGCAGGCAAGCCAGAGGAACCAGAGGCCGGGCGCTCCATAACCCACTCCCCGACGGTCACAATCCGTCCATCCCATGCGATTTTGGCTCGACTTTGTTTTTACTTGGTTACTTGGTCCAAAGAGCAACCACACTCCCCTTCCCCCCCTCACGGTTGCACAACGCAGCACGGTCCAGTGGCTTCGTGAGACTAACTGCCTGGTACTAACATAGTCATCCGATCCCCGGGCAAAGGATCGATCGCACAAGTGCGGAAGCCTGCAGCCCAGTCCCGACGCCCCCGTGGCGTGTGTCCTGGGCGCAAACCGGGCAAAAAGCAAAACCCGCCGCCTCTCACAGGGGCCGCCGTTATGGAGCGGGCGGGACGGGTGAGCCGATTGCGCTTGTGGGATGAAGTAGCAGCCGTCGGGCTTTGGCGTCGCACCCGGGCCTGGCACGTGGGTTGCATGTCGCCATCGCCGACTTGCCTGTCCTGCCTGAGGGAGGGCGGATGAGAGGATCAAGCTTTGCAAAGCTTTACAAAGCAACCATACATCCATCGGCGCATAAACCGGGCTCTACACAGTAAACCTCCCCCAATGGCTGGCGCCCGCCCCCTCCCCTGTGCGTAAGCGGCTAAACCGAAAAGCTTGGTACGGCGGGGTGTCCTCGTGGAAAAAGCTTTTTCTAGCGCCGTTGGCCATCAAGGTTGCGCCTCCACCCCACTCGCAACTTGGGCAGACATGGAACTCATGCCGCGACAGCCGACCGACTTGTCTTGCGACCCCTCAAATCCCGACGTGGGGAGCAATGGCTGACACAGAGGTGTTTGTCCTTCATTCTTACTTACTGGAGCTGTTTCTGACTCCCAACTTTTGACTCACGTCCCTCGACCAGCTACATACCTGCATAGTTCGGGACATAAGCACCTGTGTGGTTGGAGGTAGATATCCGGGGGCTTCTGGGCGCTGCGCTTGACACAGCCCCCGGCCTGCCAGATCGGGACGGTTACATGGGGTTTTGGCCTGCGCCCCTCGAGAGCAGGGACATGCCGACCATGCAAGCACACATCATCACAGAGAGACACATTCTTGACACAGCTTCTGCAATCATGACGAGTACTGTATTTCGAGGCCGATGCTGCGGAACGACTGCTCTGGCTGGCTCAGGCTTACAATGGTTCCCAGGCTGAAGATCAGCGATTTTAGCCTCCCCTCCCAGAGCATAGCGACTCGGCAGTGCTGGTCCATGCGTGCCTTGAGCACGCCGGAGAAGGGCTCCTTCTCCTTGCCGTCGGACTTCTCCGACGCCGCTGGTTGGCTCTTCGCAGGCGATGGGGCCTCACCTCCGCCACTGGCGTCGTCGTCGAGCCTCCACTCCAGCTTTGCCTGGAAGCTTCGCTCCTTTTTCCTCGGCGGGCTCGCTTCTATTTCCGTCTTGCGAGCGGCAGATTCTGCCGCCGGTCCCTCGTCGGTCTTGGTGCCGTCGATCAGGCCCGCCACGCGTCCGGTGCCCCAAAGCTCCATGCCGACGGTCCAGTCGCTCTCGTAGCTGTAAACGTTAAAGTCGAACCGGGTCGACAAGGAGCACTTGTCTCGCGCCATGACGGCAAATGTGGCGCCGATGTTTCCCACCAGCGGGGCTAGCGTCAGCGTCGCCGTCAGGGGCGTGCCGCGGTGCGCCGGCAGCGTCGCGAACCGGCCCCCGACCGACGCGCCGGCCGTCTTGTTGAGCACACCATAAAATATCTCACCGCCAGCGCTAAAGCGCCCGTATATCCTCTCGCGCTCTTCCGACACCGTCCCCCCACTTCCGCCGTTGCTGTGCCCATTGCCGTTGCCATTGCCATTGCCGTGGCCGTTTCCGTGACCATTGCCGCTGCCGTTGCCGCCACTGCCGCCATTACCACCATTTCCAGAGGGGAGAGAGCCGTGGTCGGCGACGGCGCTTCCCGCGGCGGTCGGCGCCAGACTCCCGACCGGCGCGGCATCGCCGCCAAAATTGTACAGGCCCCTGAGAACAAGCAGTCCCCCTTCGGTCCAGACGAGGCTCTCGACGCCGTAGTGAGGCTTGTTGAACTGCAGGCTACCGAGGATGTTGCCGCCGTTGGGATAGTCGCTTTGGCTGACAGCCTTGACCTGCAGCCGAAACGTCGGCGTGATGCGCTTGGTGACCTGGGCCTCGAGCATGGACAGGGGCAAGAACAGCCTCCCAAAGACCAACCATGGCTGCTTGGCAAAGTCCTGCAAGACCTCCTGGGCGGTCAGACGTTCGGGGGGGATCGCCGGCGCGGGCGCCGGCGCGGGCGTCTCGCCGGCGGCAGCGGCGGCGGCGGCTCGGGGGGGCAGAGGCTGGAGCGGCCTGTACGACCGCAGCAGGGCCGGAAGCGGTATGGTCTTGGAGTTGGAATGGACCGCCCTGAGCGGCACAGAAGAGTAGAGGTACGAGATGGAGCCGTCGAAGCTGCCGCCGGCGCCCAGGCGGTACGAGGTGGCAAAGTTGGGGGTCGCGAGGGACGAGAAGGACAGGTTCAGGCCGGTCGGGAGGCGGAACTGCATGAGCTTTGGCAGGCCGAACTGCATGAGCCCTGGGAGGAGGAGGAGGGAGGGCACACAAGACGGATGGTCAGCTCAAGGGTCGGGGACACGGGTTGGCGTCCGGGAGGGCGGCCTGGTAGTGGGTGGACGCACTGTCGGCGGTGTCATTGAGGCCCTCGTAGCGATTGTCCGGGTACCAGCCCGTCGCATGGTCGAAAGACTCGAGGAAATAGTCCTCGAACTGGCGCATCATCGGCTCTTGGAATCGCCAGGTTCCAAAGGGCAGACGGCGCTGTGCGCAAGGGGAAACGTCTCGGACAGGGGGCGCTCAACGGCCTTGGGTAAAAATTTCGGTAGAGTTGGCAATTGATGGACGAAGCACACCCACCTGATGTGGCCCGAGCTTTGTTGCTGCTGCAGGGCACCTCGATACCTAGACTGAGGCCAACTCATAATACTGTGTAGAACAACGCGGAATCCACCAATTGATTGGCAAAGGATTGGATTGTAACAACAAATTAGAATCATTTCATGGTGCCATAACCGCGAATAGCTTCAGTCATAGCCATCGCACCAACGGCTTCAATCACATGACTGACACTTGCACTCCCCTCCGGACCATTCCGTTGGATTCAGCTGTTGGCTGTTCGCCGCGGTGGGCGCAGGCTGACAGAGTGGGCTGATTCAAGAGGCCGGGCAGCCTGCATGATATGATGGGCTCTGGAAGCGAGAGAGGCTCCCTTTCATGTGCCACTCACGAGTCCCGTATTTCCCGCGCCATCGGCCTTTGTTGGACTCGTCGGCGAGGATCCTGAATCTCTGTTGATCTGTTCTTGGCAGAAAGGCCCCCGACGTGGGCAAACCCGACGACCACATCAGTCCTTTTCGGCTGCTGTCGGCGGCCAACACACCCACAAGCAGCAGCGCCCGTGACCAAACAAAACATCCCCGCATTCCTTTCTTGGAGGGGGAACAACCCATCTTTGGGCAGGACCGGGGGGTTGTGGATGGCGTGCCAGTCCCAGTCCCAGTGCCAGGGTCAAGGTTCGTGAGTGGTGCTGTCAGATCGCTGGCCCAGGTTGCCCAATCCGGGGCGTGGTTCGACAGGCTTCCAGACCTGGGTTGGCGCAGGCTGGCAATCGCATCATATGAGACGATAACCCAACGCCCAACATCCCACTTGATCCCATTTCCAGGCCACTGCGCGAAAATTACACGCTGCGGGTTTTTTTTTGTCTTGGACGCACAGGATACTATTTTCGAAATACAGTCTAGTCATCGCCGATGTAGATAGCACCTAGACAGAGGGATATATAAGCTGTACGACCGGCAGGTTGGCCAAGTTGAAAAAAAGTTACCAGACAGCAACACAAAGCAATCTACAAGACTCAAGACAGCTCATTTTAGCAGAAACACAGTAAACACTCTGTCATCCATCTCGCAATCGTCTCGTCCTCCCACACCATCTCATACACGCATCCAAAAAAAATAAAAAAAAATGAAGCCAACAACGGTTCTGCGTCGCCCGGCTCTCGCCCCCATGCCCACAGGCCCCCTACGCGCACCACCCACAGGTGTCGCAGCCAGGTGAGCATGGCACCCACCCCCTCGCCCATATTCCTGTCCCATGCCGTCGTCGCACAACCGGACGGGTTTGGTTGCATTGCGTTCGTCCTGCATGCCACTTGGACCCAATGAGAACAAGACTGACGCAGGCGTCTTGTCCGTCCACAATTTTCAGGGTTCTCCCTCCCCTGATCATAATGGGATGTGGTAAGTCTAAATGCCCCCGTCCACTTGGCACCCTCCCCGTTGTGCATCATGTAAACTGACAGCCCGTCTGCCCAACCCTTGCACCAGTCGCCGGCATCGCCTCATACGTCAAGAGCCAGCTGCACAACGAGTCCGGCACCATGGACCGGATCTTTGCGCAAAAGAACGACGAGAGGCACGAGGCGGCCAGGAAAAAGGTCTACGTTGACCGCGAGCCGCGGAGGAGCGCCTACAACATTCTGTCATGGTGACTCTTTCTGGGGGAGGATACCTGAGGGTGTCGAAGAATTCTTTGTTACATTTTTATCCTTCTTTTCATTTGTCGTCCAGTGTTACTGCGACCATTCTTTTTTCTTATTGGGAAATCACACGGCGTTTGAGGCGATGAGGCATTAGCAACGAGTGCCCGCTCAGGATAGACGCACTTTTCCTGGGCATCTCATGCTATTGGAAACGACTATGTCTAGGTGTAATTGAGATTTGAAAATTTGAGCTGCCGAGTCTTCGCCGCAGTGTGCGCGCCCGAAGCCTTGCATTACATGATACCTCTAGCATCACATAACAGCCACCCCCAGGCTCAGTGACGCCCGCGGCGACCGCACAGTCGCCCCCGATCGCTCCTGCGCCGGTCCCGACGGGCTGGATGACCCCCCTGGCACCGAAGCGGTGCGGATTGTGGGGGTGCACAGACCTCATTTGCAGGGTTTCCTTTGGCTTTGATCTTGCTTATTCCCTCGATCCTCCTTGCAATGTGATCCGTCGTCCGCACATCCCCACAGCCTTCCGGAGTCCGGCCTGGGGAAACCGCAGGGAACGGCGGCAATCCGAACGGTTTTTGGGCTGGACCTCTCGCGTCTCGCGTCCTCGCCTCGTTCACTGTCTCAATCTCCGCGAACGAGGGGGTCCGGACGAGGCGGGGGGTCAAGGTGGTGGATGGATGGGCAGGCTTTAAAATGGTCTGGATTCCCCTCTGCGGGGAGTTGGTGTTGGACGAAATACCCATCATCACCCCTTGCAAGACCATCCGACCACCTCTCCTAAATCATCTCGTCCAAATTCAGTCGCCCGTTTGACAGGAACTCTCAACCAAAATTCACAATGGGTGCTCAGGCCGCCTGCGGAAACATCACCTTTGAGGGTAAGTACAAGTCGGGATCAGACCAGACATCAAAGACTATTAGTGCAACATTTGGCAAACCGGGACTGACCAGTTCCTCCACTCGCTCGCAGACTACCTCGGCCTCACCACCGCTGTGTACGAGTGGGCCGACAGCTATGACTCCAAGGACTGGGACAGGCTGCGGAAGTGCATCGCCCCGACCCTGAGGGTAAGTCGTCCTGGGGAGGCGTGTGGTCACAACCCAGGCAAGGCAACACCTAACCAAATTCCAAAAAACCACCCAGATCGACTACCGCTCGTTCCTGGACAAGATCTGGGAGGCCATGCCGGCCGAGGAGTTCATCGCCATGATCTCGGACAAGGCCGTGCTCGGCAACCCGCTCCTCCGGACGCAGCACTTCATCGGCGGCACCCGGTGGGAGAAGGTGTCGGACACCGAGGTCATCGGCTACCACCAGCTGCGCGTGCCGCACCAAAAGTACACCGACGCCACCCTGAAGGAGGTCCAGGTCAAGGGCCACGCCCACTCGGCCAACACACACTGGTACCGCAAGGTCGACGGCGTCTGGAAGTTCGCCGGCCTCAAGCCCGACATCCGCTGGTCCGAGTACGACTTTGACCAGGTCTTCGCCGACGGCAGGGACGCCTTTGGCGACGAGGCCAAGGCTTGAGGGTTCCCGCTGCTTCGTTGCCGGCCGGGATGGGCTGTTATTGTATGCCACCACGGGGCGCAGGGACACAGGGATACAATGTAGAAAACAGACGGAAAATAAAGGATAAAAAAAGACAGAATTGTTGCATTTTATGCTGCATGGCGATGCGAGACCCCAACAGTCTCGGCTTCGGTTTCTATACCTCCAGTCGTCACCGGGCCTTCGTATCCCCTTCGCGCACCCCAGAGCCACCACATACCAACAAACACCGTAAGGCCACCCCATATCAAGCAAGCGTAGTTCATGCTGGCCGCGCTCGTCGGGAGCGAGGCGGGGAAGCTGTAGATGACGAACCATACCATCATGTACGCGCACGCCCAGCCGTTGACGGCGAACCCCACCCACCCGCGCATGTGGAAGGGCCCGTACGAGATGCGCTTCCGTCCCGCCAGCAGGTTGGGCAGGATGGCGGCCACGTACGAGCTGCTGGACAGCAGGATGAAGCTCCCGACGAAGGCGTTGAACGCCGTCGTGCTCCCGACGTAGAGCGCGCCGAGGACCGTCACGAGGGCCGCCGACACGAGCGTGGACCACATGGGCATGCCCAGCCCGCGGTGCACCCGGCGCAGGACCGCGGCGCGCGGGGTGGCGCCGTCGCGGGCCAGGGCCCAGAGCGCGCGCCCGCACGTGATGTGCAGGCCCAGGATCGTTAGCGTGATGCAGACCAGGACCAGGGCGAGGAGGCCGGTGGCGCCGGCGGCCGAGTCGGTGGCCTGGCGGTAGATCTCGGCGATGGGGTAGGGCGACCGCAGCAGCGCGGCGTAGTCGTTGATGGCGTACATGATGGCCACCAGGTAGCAAAACCCCGTGACGAAGCCGATGCTCATCTGGAGGCCGAGCGCGATGGGCACGTTGCGCCTCGGGTTGGGGATCTCCTCGGCCAGGTGCGTGGTAGCGTCGACGGCGCCCACGCTGTAGGCGCCGTTGAGCATGCCGGCCACGAATACGAACCCGTCCGGGTACCCGATGTCGGCCGTCCACTCTCCCCAGACGAAGGACGACGGCGCGTGGGGCGGGCGGCCGTCGTGGCCGGGCATCGCGGCCACGACGATGACCGTGATGAGGAAGCCGCCCAAGATGGCGACGACGCCAAAGTCGTTGGCGCGCGGCATGGCGCGGTTGGCCAGGCAGACGAGGGCGGCGGCGAGCCACGTGACGATCAGGTAAGCCACAAAGACGTGCCAGGGCTGGGCCTCGAAGCCGGCATGGTTGAGGGCGTACATCTGCACGACGGTGTTGCCAAAGATGGACGCCATGCTCGCGGCGCCGAGGACCCAGGCGAGGTAGTTCCACCAGCCGGCGAAGAAGCCAACGGGGCGGCCCCAGCGGCGGCCGGGCGTCACCGAGGCCCAGTGGTAGACGCCGGCCGACGACGGGATGGCGCTCGAGAGCTCGGCGATGCTGGCGGCCACGGCCCAGTAGCAGACCGACACGGCGACGAACTCGTACAGCACCCCTGGGGGCCCGCCGTTGAAGATGGCCACCAGGATCGAGCCGCCGATGGCGGGCCACACGTTGCCCACCACCAGGCCCACGCCGGCGAGCGAGACGAGGCTGAAGTTGCGGTCGAGCTCCTGCACGTGGCCCGACGCGTTGATGGGGACGTCGCGCGGGACGTCGGCCGCCGTCGGGTCGGCGGTCAGGGATTGGCTGTCGGTCGCGGCATGGGCTTGGCTGCCGTCTTTCGCGTCGCGGTCCATTGTCGCGTCCATGATTGCCGCCTCTATCCCGCGCCTTGTTGCGGGTGTCGGACTGAGGGCTGTCAGAGCAGTCGAGGCATCTAGCGAGCGGAACGAAGCGCCCGCGTGTCGGCTTTTCTACAAGAGGCAAAAGATAACAGCCCCTGCCGGCCCTTATCGACTCCCCCGGCCTCCATGGCTACCAGGGACCCAGCTGTGTGGACTTTCTGTAGGCCGTGTAGCATTGCCGGGCATCGGCGTCTTGGCCGACCGGAGCCGCTACAGAGGGGAAACCTAGGCTCACGTTCCGGCTGTGCTGCGCAGCACAGACCTTCCCCACTTCCGTTGGGCCTTGTCTCATGGGCACCTTGCCAGATTGGGCCAACGGACCCACGGCGGTCTAACAATATGGTATTTGTTTCATCAGTTTTCGCCGAGTCTTTCTGCTTCTCTGTTATCACCGCTTTTGGCGCCAGACCCAGGGGAGATCTTATCCTATCCTACAGACCATGCCTGGGCCGCGAAGTGATTTTTTCCCGCTGCGATAAGCCCCTTTGCCGTAACGGTCGGCCAACCCATCCTTCATCACGGGACCAGTAATAGGTAACCGCCGACGTCGATTGCTAATCCTGCCATGTCCTTGGATTCGGGATGCTTCACAGAGACACCAACGTCTGTCGTCATTGCGTCTATACGGCCCGGCTGCCAAGCTTACATTCGGGATAGCCGAGCAGATTCAACACCAGTGGCGGTTTCTTGTGCTCCCACAACCGCCTTGCCCGCCCTGGAACCACGCAATAGCATCATCCAACTTGGGCAAGCCTTGGCCCCCGGGAAAAGCATTCGAGAAAGGCTTAGTGGCCAGACATGGCTTGTCGGCCCAGATTCCTTGCCGTCTTTCCGGCATGTCGTCGAAGTTGGAGCTTGTTCCCTGGAGTTGCCATGGGGGCGGTCGGATTCTCCGCCAGAAACGATCAAAAACATCTCGCAGCCGAGCTTCCCGCGGCTGAACAAGGGCAAAGTCTAGCTTCGCCGAGCCGGAGAGCTTGTCCAAGATTACGCCACGCCACAGAGAGCGATATCGCCGAGAAGAGCAGCCGAAGCCACACTTTGCCGTATCCATACTGCCAGCTCTCGGCCAAAGCTTAACAACGAAAGGATGAGGTCTAGGTTCCCCCTGGCGTTGGAAGAGCTTCATCTTCCGCCTGGTACCTGGCTTCAGTTCGTTTGCTTTTGGAACCCGTAATCGCAGGGCTTTGAGCTGGCCGAGCCCCGGTCCTATTTCGCAGCGCACACTAGTTTGTGTTACCCACTAATCGCAGTCTCACCTAGGTAGGTCCTCTTCAACCCGGATGGCGTATCTACCGCTCCCCTACGCGCAATATCGTTCCGCAGGCCTTCCGCATTGCCAAGCCTGCCAGGCCGAACTCTCGAAGCGAACCCGGGGATCAGGGTCCAAGTGGCCCCTTCGTCCCCCTCCTCGTTTCTGGCCCTGCTTTAATCTTGGAACAGTTCTCAAGGGGGCCTCCTCGATTAATTTCCTTTCCGAGGGAAGTTCATTAAGCACATACAGCAATTCATATCGACAATACGAACTCCTCATGGAACAGACGTTATGTTTTAGCCTATATGGCTCACCGGGGGTTGGCGCCCACTTTGGCGTGAGAATCATTTCTATACGCCCTTCAGATTGGACAGCTCTGTTGCAAGGTAATCCTTTCTCTCAGCTTTTTTATATTGGCCTCCACGCTCTCTCTGCTCACGTGTCTCGCTCAGGCTCCCATTTGGGGACTGGCCTCCCACGTTTGTTTCCGCAACCCACACCTCACCACATTCTCTTCCAATACAGGCCACCCTTAGGTCGCGAAGGCGCTTGCAATACCTCCTACTGTAGACGCAGCCGCCTGGAACTTAGGCCCGAGATGTCTTGGTCTGGATATCTCAATCATGCCCTTATTCGTGGGAATCCGAAAGTCGTACTGCGCTGGTCTGACGTCCAGTAGGATAGTCCTGCCTTGAAGGCTTGACTAATCCGTGAAACCCTGAGAAGCCTCGGGTCAGCCCAGCTCATGCAAGTAATTTCTTGTGTCTGGCGAGCTCCAGCCCCTCGTCCCGAAGGTTTGCAGCTGTCGAAATTAACGGGGATACCCGGCCACCTGTCGCAAGGGCGGAGGACCCCTTAGCTCCTTGGGCAATATATACACTTGGTAGCGTCTTTCTCGGCCCCACACCACCGGCTGGGCTGTTGATGGGGCAGGGCATGATTTGTATCATGACAAGGCGCTCTCGCCCGGGATTGGTCATGGCCCATTGCGTTGATACTCGGCAAGGAGGCTGCGCGGTATGGACGGAAAAACAGGGCCTTGGAGATATGAGAAGGATACCTCAAGGGGGGCAATATGGCCTGAGGGTGGAAATCGAGACAAAAATAGAAGCACACTTGAGCGAGTGGATGCATGCCCGAAGTGGTCACAACATCCGCCCTTTCCTTTGTGGAAGTGCGGCTAGGAGTCGATCTCGTGATGGTCTCTTGTCACGATATAGTAGGGGAACAGATAAAACAGTAGTACAAGTGGTAGTTAGGTGAGGTCATGAGGGGCCAAAGCAAGGCCCTCCGGGGCGGCCCTACCCTTATCGCCCTTATCGGGCGGGGTGGTCCTTTGGGCCCTACTCCGGTAAAGGGCTCCTCTTTATTTAATTTATTTGCTTACAGGGCCTAACGCCCGTAACAAGTGCCGCTTCCCCGCCAAAAAACACAACGACCTCGTTGTGATCCCGCCTGCCTGCTTCAAAGCGCTTTATTAGTTGCTTTGCGAGGCTGGCCGCGGCGGGGCTTTACCTGCCCTCCCTCGAGGGCCTTTTTGTGCGTATTGCGGGCAGGGCGTTTCAGCTCCGGGGCGTTTTTAAAAGTGGCCAACTGGGCTTAACGCTTATTGTAGTTATTAATAAGGTTTTAGGCATTAAACAAGTTAGTGGAAGACTTTTACGTATTTCCGCTAAGGCCGTAGCTTTTTTACCGGACCAGGTAACGTATTTTGTTTTTCGTATCCTGTTGGTTTAAAATTTTAGCAATTTTGTAAATTTTGCTAGCGCTAGCATAAGCATTTTAAAATGCTGCATCGTTTTTGTTATTTCCGTATTTTAAAAGGTTAAGTAAAGGTAATATTTAGTTAAAAAGTTCGTTGCTTTAAAAAAGGCAAAATATTGGATAAAAATAATAAGGTAAATTTATAATTAGCAATTGGAAACATCGAATTTATATACTAAAAAAATACTTTTTGCATAATAATGTAAAGCTTTTATCGTTTTAATTTAAGCTTATCCTTTAAATGTTTGCTTTTAAGTTTATAAGCTGCGCTAAGGTTAAATTATATTTAATTTTTTTTGTTAAATTCCAAAAGCTGGTGCTTAAAATTATATATTTTTTTTACTTTGCAATTGCTAGCTTTATAGCGAATTCGCCGTTTTTACGGAAATATTTTTATATAAATTAAAACTCGGCAACGTTTTTTAAAACCCGCTCCGTTGCAAATTATTTAAATATTTTAAAATTTAAAAACCAAATAAGAATTTATACAAATTATAATTTAAATATTTTATTAAAGCATGGTTTATATTTTATTGCAAAAAAAGGATAACATTAATTTAATTCTCGTTATTGTAAATTAAAGCGTAGTAACGAAAAGCAACTTTAACGGCCTAGTTTTTGCGCTCGGCTTAACCGTTTGTTTGCGGGTAGTATATAGCGGTTATGTGCAACCGCGTACGGAACGTTTTTTAAAGCGCAATGTAAAAAGCTAATATAAATTTAAGGTTTCGGCTCGAAATAATGCTTTTAGGATAAAGCTAATTTGCAAAAAGGAAAAAGCATTCCAATTAATTAGCTTAATACTTTGCTTAGTATTCGTTGTAACCCGGGATTAGCAATATTTTTTTGGATGTTTTGTTCGTTACGGTAAAAATGGCGTTGTATAAATCGAATTAAGTATTAATTTATAAGGTGCCGTTTAAAAAAAGTACTGGTAAACCGGTAATAAAGTTTATAACAATTACGTTTATTAGTTTTTTGAGGGCTGGAATAAGTTGTAACGTTTTTACAGGCAATTGGTTATTTTGGCAATTTTTTTTGGCATTTTACGCAATTTCGGGTATAAGTTTTTACAACCCGTTATTTGTTGCAAATTTGCAAATTTTTTAAAGCTTTTATTATTTTTTATTTACTGAAATAATGTAAATTGTTGTGCATTTTTTGTAAAAACTCGGGTATTAATAATTTAAGAATAACCAAGCGTTTGTTATAACCGTTATTAAAAATGTACAAAAAAAAAGTGTCGGAACAATATTCCGGCCCTTTTCCGGCATTTATTTGGCGCAGGCAATAGGGAAAGATTCACTTGTTTTGTGCCAAAAGATGGACCTAATTGCAAGGCTTGGGCTTTTGGCTTGGGCCCGTGGCTTGTGCCCGTGGCTTGGCCCCAGGGCCAAGCCCGAGGGCACGGCCCCCAACCCTTGTATATAAACCCTACCTCTGGCGCCCTTTCGGGGCCAGAGGTTCTTCCTCCTTATGCTTAACACAAGGATGCTGTTAAGGGTCAATCGGTGCAAAGGCGGGTGGTCACCGGGTCACGGGCCGGATGCGGTATTTCCTTTGTTAAATTTTCGTAAATCTTTTACCAAAGGTGCTATCGCCAATAAAGATTGTTCCTTTTTTAACTTCCCTTTTTTTCGTGCCCTTTCGGGCACCCGGGGTTGGTCCTTTAAATTTTTCGCGCTTTAAACGCTTTTGTACAATTTAAACTTTACCCTATTTTTTAATTTTGCCATTATGCTTTGGCCGCAATACCGGTAGCTCGCCGGCATGTTCCCGGGGGGTTCGTGCCCGGTTGGTTGTTAGCGCCCCTTTTTTTTTTTTTTGCCGGGCGGTTTTGCCCGTGCATTTAACGCTTTCCGCTTTTTGCCGGGCGGTTTCGCCCGTGCTTTTAACATATTACCCTTTCCCGATACGGCTTGTTCCAGGCCGTTTGTACCGCGCGTGCGACCCCGTAAGTAGCCGGTAGCTTACGGTATCCCGCTAAACCGCCCCAATGCCCGGTAACGCTTGGAAAAACCGGTTGTAAAGCTTTATAGCATCCGAAAAAATGGGTTCGTACCGGCATATAAAAGGCTTTTTTTTCCGTTCGAAGTTACAAGCCCTTTTTTTTTCCTTTTTATGCATTTAATAACCATTTTAATAATTTTAACGATTGTAACCGTAAATAATCGGTATTTGGCCGTTCTTTTTAAATATTTGGATTTAACCGGTAATTGCAAATGTTATTTTTTGTACTTAATTACGTAAGGAAAATGGTATTTTTTCGGGTATTCGTTTCGGGTTTTTCGGTTCCAACCGGCCCGTTAGCCCTTTTTAACGACCCCCCGGTATCCTTTCCAATTATTGTAATTTAATTAAATTCGAATTCGGTTTCGCCGAAGCTTTTAATCCTTTAAATCCTTAACGATCGCTTTGCCGGTAACTTTCCGGTAAGCCTTTTAAATGTTGCGGGTCCATCGGGCCCTTTTACGCTTGCAACTTTTTAAAATTCCCGCAAACGTTTTGCCGGTAACCCCCCGGCGGGCTTTAACCGCCGCGGCAAAAAAACTTTCGCTAAAAAAAAGCGTAAAGCGCGCAACGAACGCCGCTACAACGCTTTTAATTTTAATAAATTTGCCCCTAAAACGAATATTGCTTTTTTTTTGCTTTATATAGGTATTTGCAACGCGCTTCCGTTGCGGGAAGTTATCGATTTCCAATAAAGCGATAACTAGGACTTTATTTATTTGCCCTTTTTTAAAAACAATTATACGGAGCGTACGGTATTTTATAACCGCTGTTTTGGTCGTTAAGCATACTAAAATTATGCTATTAACCCCCGTATACCGATATGCTCCAATAATTATACGGGGTTTTCCAAATATATTTATTGCAAGGACGTGGTCGGTAATAAAACTTGCGTTAAACTTTCCGAATGGTTTTAAAAAATGGCCCAAAACCTTTACAAAATTTTAAATACCGTTTACAAGCAATTGCTTAAAGCAATATTAAAACTTTTTAAAAAGTTTATTAAAATTTAATTTCGCGCCCGTAAAGCCATTTAAAAAGCTAAATTTTTCCATACTATATCGGCCGAACAATTTGCGCGCTATAAACGTTAAACCGTTATTTAAAAACGCATTTAGCGCAAAATTGCTAGCGTTACGATATTAAAAGCTATTTAAAATATTTTCCAATAGCTTTACGCTATCGCCGTTTAAACGAAAAGGCAAACTTAAGTTTTAGTTAGTATCGGTAATTTTTTTAATAAAATAAAAGCGTTTTTTAAACGTTTCGAAAAAGGTGTAATTGCTTTTTTTGGTAGCATTGCTGCTAGTTTTGTTACGATTGCGGCGCATTTAAATACCCAAATTTACAGCCGCGCGGTTTCCCGTAAGGGTGCGGCGTCCGTATTGGCGCCGGAAGGTACCGCCTTTGGCGCTAACAACTTTAACGGCAACGATTATAGCGCTAACGAAAAGGACGTGGTTTTCAAAAGTTTTGGTTTTTTTGGATACGGCATTTAATTAATTTTTTTTACATATTTTCCTAATTAATTATTAATATCCTTTTTTCAAAAAGTGGTTAATTTTAAATTTTTTTCGTTAATTTATTACAATTAAAATTATAATTTCCTTTCGTTATATTGCTTTTGCAGCATTGCAAAATCCCGGTATTTATATTTATTAATTAAGCTTTTAATGCTTTAATAAATAATTTTAAAATATTTTTTTTTCGCCCCCCCAATGGGTTTAAGTACCGCTAATATGCATTTGCCGCTACCCGAACGTTTAAGCCCGTCCGCTATACCATCCGGAAATTTTTCCATTTCCTTTTCGGGCAAGCAATGGTATTTTTTACTACAACGTACGTTTAAAATGCGGTAATTGCTTTAGCGTATTGCGCCAAGCATGCCCTTTACGGGCTTTCCAAAATATGCTATATTTTGCATGTTTTTCGGAATTTAAATGTATTGCATTATTAATTTAAAGCGTTCCCCGTATTATACCGTTTTTATTTAACTTTTTGTTTATAAAGCACGATATTTTACGGTTATTACAAACCGCTTACGGGTTTTTTTACGTTTTTTCCCGGTAACTAACCGGTTCGGTATATTAAAACATTTTTTTGGGCCATTCCTTTGGCTTTTATTACTCTTTTTTTATAATACCCCCGTCCTTTCCAGGTATTTACCCGCTAAAGTCCGGTATTTTCCCTATTTTATAAGCTTGTTTTTAATAAGCTTGCTTTATACGTTTAAACAATCTTTTTCGTAATATTCCTTTTTGGAATCCACAAATTTTTCGATTCGTTGTAATTTATCCATTTAATTAAATATTTTCGTTTTTGCAAAAGCTTTTTATATCCTAGCAAAACTTTTATTTCGAAACGATTCTTTTTTTTTTTTCGATTTTTGGTTTTTTATTTTTTGGTTTTTTGCCGGGCTTTTTTTTAAACGCCCGCAATAAATTTGCCGGAAATACGTTGTATATCCGGTAATTTACCGAAAGCTTTAATCGGAACGCCAAACCGGCTAACCCAATTATTTTAAAATTTAAAAAGGTCCCAACCATTTGTTCGATAGCTTTTTTAACGGCCTTTTTATTTTAATGTTCGCCGTATTTAGCAATATCCAATCGCTTACCCCAAAAAGCACCGGGGTTTTGCTTTTATTATAGTACTTTTTGTACATATTATTCGCTTTTTTTAACAATTTTTTGGCTTGCTTTTTAATTGTTTCCAAAACCCC